GTAGTCAATGACTATAGTAATCTATTATTTGATAAACCCAAAGACCCCAGCTTCTGGGATAAGAACCCACTCTTTGAAAAAAACTGCTGGGAAAACTGGAAAAGAGTATGGCAGAAACTAGGCATAGACCCAAATCTCACACCATATACCAAAATAAAGTCAAAATGGGTTCAGGACTTAGATATAAAGGCTGATACCATAAGTAAACTGGGAGAACAAGGAATAGTTTACCTATCAGATCTATGGAGAACAGAAGAATTCATGACCAAACAGGAGATAGAGAACATTATGAAAAGCAAAATGGATAATTTTGATTACATTAAATTGAAAAGTTTTTGCACAAACAAAGCTAATGCAAATAAGATTAGAAGGAAGGTAGAAAATTGGGAAAGAATTTTTACAACCAGTCTCTCTGATAAAGGCCTCATTTCTAAAATATATAGAGAATTAAGACAAATTTATAAGAACACAAGCCATTCCCCAATGGATAAATGGTCAAAGGATTATGAACAGACAGTTCTCAGATGAAGAAATTAAAGCCATCTATAGTCATATGAAAAAATGCTCTAAATCGTTATTGATTAGAGAAATGCAAATCAAAACAACTCTGAGGTACCACATCACACCTATCAGATTGGCCAACATGACAAAACAGGAAAATGATAAATGTTGGAAAGATGTGGAAAATTGGAACACTAATACATTGTTGGTGGAGTTGTGAAATGATCCAACCATTTTGGAGAACAATTTGGAACTATGCCCAAAGGGCTACAAAAATGTGCATACCCTTTGATCCAGCAATAGCACTTCTAGGGCTATATCCCAAAGAGATCAAACAAATGGGAAAAGGACCCACATGTACAAAAATATTCATAGCAGCTCTTTTTGTGGTGGCAATGAATTGGAAATTGAGAGGATGCCCATCCATTGGGGAATGGCTGAGCAAGTTGTGGTATATGAATGTAATGGAATACTATTGTGCTATAAGAAATGATGAACAGGCTGACTTCAGAAAAACCTGGAAAGACTTATATGGTCTGATGGTGAGTGAAGTGAGCAGAACCAAGAGGACTTTGTACACAATAACAGCCACGTTATGCAATGACTAAGATTGTTAAACTGAACCCTTCTCAGCATCACGAGGATCTAAGACATCTCCAGAGGCCTCGGGATGGAAAATGCTGTCCACATCCAAAGAAAGAACTATGGAAGTCGAATCGCTATCACTTATTTTTACCTTCTGTTGAGTTTTGTTTCATCTTTCTGATGGTTCCTCTTATTGGTTTTAATTTTTACTTACAACTTCACTAATGTGAAAATATGTTTAATGGGTATGTAAATGTAAAGCCTATGTCAGATTGTGTGCCGTCTTGGGGAGGGTGGGGTGGAGGAAGGAGGAGAAAAATTTTCAACTCAAAAGCATATGGAAGTGATTGTTGATAAATCAAAATAAATTAATAAAAAAAATGACTGGAGCAAATTAAGAGGCCATCAGAAGTGCCCATTAAGAGCAACAAGATTGATGGGGCATGTCAGGTGACTTTTCCCGGTAGAGTGACCTTCATTTCCTTGTCCAAGACTGTGTCAACTCTGGATGAAAGGAAAGCCGGTTATTTCTGGGAAAGAAGTCTGGGCATATGTCAGTCGACAAACATTAAGGAAGTGCCAACCATGCCCTGGGCTAAGGGCCAGGATAGTGAGAAAAGTGAAAGCAGACCCTGCCCTGAGGAGCTCAGTGTGACAGGGAGACCACATGCAGATACCTCTAAGGGAGATAAGCCTGAGGAAAGCCTGGAAGATTAAAGGAACCTGGAAGGACTTCCTGTGGAAGGTGGAATGTTAGCGAGTAAGTGAAGGAGGCCCTCTGCATTGATCCCTCCGTACTTAGATCAGCTGTTTTGTAGTAAAAATCACGTTTCTCTTCTGACCAGCTAAACAGGCTTCTCCTAATGCTTTATTTTTGATAACTGGACAATCTCATAATTTGTGTGTTTGGTCTCCTGTGACCTCCGGCTCCTCTGATGCAATATTTAGCATCAGAAAACCTAAACAAGATAGTGTCCACCTTAAAAATAGATTTTGCTTTTTGGTCTATAGTACGTACTGAAAGTGTAAGAAGATAGAGTGATTCAGAGTGTCCAGGGCATGAGAGAAAGAGACTCCAGGCTGAGGCAGAACATTGCAGAACACACAGAGAGCCTCGGACAAGGAACAGCCGGGAGGCCGGTGTGGCTGTATCTCCAAGTTTGTGAGGCCATTGCAACGACTACCATAAATCTTTATATTCCTGAGCAGGGCAGACGAGTCAGCCCGTCAGGTCTGGTCGGGTTGGCACATTGGTCCCATTGTGATTTTGTGCCCCTAGTCCTCCCTGGGTGCTTAATAAATGCTTGGTGACTGACCAGCTGGCTGAACTGTTCTTCTGATTCTACTTGCGTTGGATTAATTTGTAAAGAGGAGATCAGGTAATGGTCTCTTTCTCCCCAGTATTTCCTCATCGCGTGGAGATAAGTGGTGGAGATCTCAGCGGTACAAGAATCTGAAACAGCTCCAAAAGACTCAGGATGGAAAATGCTGTCCCATCCAGAGAAAGAACTAGGGAGTCTGAATGCAGATGAAAGCAGGCTGTTTGCTCTTTAAGTAGAGCCTTTATCAGACTGCACACCATCCTGGGGAGGGGGAGGAGAGGAAGGAGAGAAAATTTAAAACAAAAGCTTCTGGAAGTGAATGTTGAAAACTAAAAATACATAAATAGATTTTTTAAAAAAGAAAGAAGATCAAGTTTAGAAGTCTCTAGGAAGGCAAATTACAGGACATTAGCTTCTCCTAAATATTGCCATCTCTATGTATGTCTCTCTCAAAATGTCTCTGAATTCACACGCTTCTCTCCCCAGAGCTCAATCCCAACTTCTTCTTATATGCGTGTGTGCAGGATCATGTCTTTATCACCATGTTCTCCACCAATCTAGAGTCACTTCTTCTTACACACACACACACACACACACACACACACACACACACACATGCATGTCAAAAGCTTCGTTGGAGGCTGTAGGCATTTCATTTGCTATCTTTAGACCTTAGTTTTTTCATATGTTAAATGAAGCTGTTAGACTATATGATGTCTAAGGTCCCGTTAAGGACCCCAGATCCTTAGTCGTCATTGGGCATGGAAAAAGATACTAGATTTGGGTCAGAAGACAAGAATTTAAATCCTGGATTGATTATTTACTCTTCGGTTGATCTTAGTAAATCATTCGGGGTCAGTTTTCTCATCCTTAAACCGAGGACGTTGAACTGGGTGGTCCCTGATTTCTGATCCCGTTGTAATCCTGTGATCAGATGGTGTTCAAAACAGTGGGGACGGTAAGAATTGGACTGCAGAGAAATGCTCTTTTTACATAGGCTTACCAACATGACATCTAATGCTGGATTATTTCTCCAGAATCCAAACATACACTGTAGCAGTGGAAAAATCCTGACTGCTTTTACACATAGGAGGTGAGGAAGGAAAAGGTTGTGGGATGGATGTGATTTTTTGGAGTTTATTTATCATGAAGTAGTCTCCTAAAATTTAAATACATTATGGGCCACAAAATATAGTTAAGATAAGCCCAAGGAAAGCTCACTGCATGACCTTCAAAAAGGTCCTTCTAAATAATCCTTTGAAAGATAAATGGAAACAAACTACGTGGTTGGCAAGGCCAGTGTGTTGTTTATATTAGCTAAGGACTCTGACCTTTCAAAGTCCACTGAACTGTCTTGACCTGTAATTCTTCCTGGAAGGGACTGATGGATTGTTTTATTCCAGATGTTTTTGGGATTATTGTATAATTACATGTACAGTTGTAAATGTATAATATAAACTGTCTATTATATTAATATATTAATTACATATAATTAATAATATATTGATACAATAAAGTATAAAAAACAAAAACAAGTGGTGGAGACTGCTAAAACACCCCATAATTTTGTAATTTTTGAAATTTGTTCAGCTACTGTCCATTGAAAGCCACAGGGAGCTGTGAAGTGAATTCCCTTCTTCCAGAAGGCTGTTGGAGTGTTTAACTGGCAGGTGCTGCTTTGCTTTGGATGGACTGGCTTTGGTGGCCTAAGCCATTGGCTAAACTCTGGTTTTTCATGAATTTCAAAAAGGTGCAGCTGTTATTTTCCTCTTAATTTCAGCATTTTGCATGGTGTCAGGTAGAATAAAGTTTATTGTGGAAAGTAACAATTGCCTCTTGTTTTTGCAAAGTGTTGGGTTTTTTTGTTGTTGTTTTATTTTGTTTTGTTTTGTTTTAAATAAAAGTGGTGTTTGCAGAGCTCTTGAGGTCTGCAGAGCAGCTGATTTCCAGCCCCTCTTTGTACCCTGCCAGCGGCTCTGGATGGCCGTTGGTCCCGAAAGGCTCTTGTCCTCTTTCTGTGTGGCCTCTGGGGAACGCTGCCCCAACATCTGCCCCCGGTGACCAGTCCTAGACACAGTAAACATGAAGTCCATCACTCTGCCCATGCCCAATGCCCGTCCGTGCCACGGTGAGCTGTCAGATTTATAGATCACCTGTTGTGTGCCAGGCACCATGCTAAGCGCTTTACAAATATTATCTCATTTAATCCTCACAACAAACTTGAGAACTAGGTGCTATTATAACCCCCCTTTTGCAGTGGAGGAAACTGAGGCAAGCAGAAGTTGAGTGACTTGTCCTGGGTCACACAGCTAGAAAGTGTCTTATCCTGGATTTGAATTCGGATCTTGACACCAGGCCCAGTACTGTATTCACTGCGCCACCTAACTGCCATTGGATAGGTAAGTGCTACAAACAGGATTCCCTTTTTAAAATTTATTTAGAAATAAGTAAACTGAGGCTCAGGTGACTCAACCTTGATCAACTAGTGTCAGAATGCCTGGAACGTAGTAGGTACTTAATACATGCTTAGGGATTGTTTGGGAATTTCACCATTATTGCACCCAAGCAGTAATATGGATCTCTTCTCTTTAGGGTCCAATGGCGATGCGTGCCTCGGCCGGCTCCCCCAAGCAGAGGGACCCCAACAAGATCGCAAATGGTGACAACACAGCTCAAGGGAAGTGGGGCCGAGCCTGGTAAGATCCTCCTTCCAGCTCCACGGCCTGGGGCAGGGTGGCCATGGTGTGGTGGGTGGCCAACAGTAGAAGGCCTTGGGCTCTAGCCATGTCTCGTTTGCCCAAGCTTTTGTAAAGTTGTTTTTGCTGTAAATAAGACCAATAATTACCCACATTTCATATACATTATCTCATTTCATTTGAGCCTCCCCATAGCCAGTAAATATTAGAGGAATTCTCTGAGCTTTCTGGAGGAGAATAGTGAGGGCCGGCCTGTGGCCACTTTTGTCAGAGAAGAGATTTGGCCCCCACTCTTCCTGACAAGTCTAAGCCCTCCCCCCACCCCCCCATGAGTAGAAGAGCGTCAGTGAGAGCCACAAGGCCTAGCAAGAGTGGCCGAAGCACGGGGGCTGCTGCCTCTGCCTGGCACCCTCTTGATCCCTCCCAGCGTGACGAGTGTGAGGCCCCTTCAGCTATCAGCTCTCCCCTTCTTCCTCATGCATGAGTGCGTATGTGTGTGCCTGTATGCACACACTTTGTCTTAGGGTCGGACATCTGAGTTGGGGCGGGCAGGGGAGCCTCCTGTCATTGAGCCCAACACCCTCATTTTACAGAACAGGAAACTGGATCCTAGGGAGGGTGAGTGACTTGATTACCGAGAGTAAGCATCAGCTGCTATGGGAGCCCCGGGGCCCAGCTGCAGATCCACGAGCTCCCGGCCCCCATCCGCCTGTTTGTCAGGGTGACTCTTTGCCCCGTTCACTCTTGAATAAGCAGCGATGGTAACTGGAGTTGCTGTCTTCCCCCTCCCCCACCCCTCATTCTCTTTCTCAGTCCCTGTCTCTGTCTCTCTCTCTCAGCCTTAACCACTGGATTAACTAGGCTGTTTGAGCTGTCCTGATTTCAGGCCACTCCTGCTCTTGATCTGTCTTAGAACTGAATGTCAGTCTCTCACTTCTTAGTTATAGTGAGCACCTTTGTTGTTTACCTTGCCATCTTTTCCAGAGAAATCCCACCTTCTCCTCTCCTACCTAGATAGACTGAGAGCTAGGGACTTGACCTGGAATTTCACTGCTCCCTCCGCAAATGCAGGCTGGCATCTTCTCTGCAACATAGTCTTCACTGCCAAGGGCACTGAAAGATTAAGTGGCTTCACAGTGTCAAAGGCTAGAAGTCTTCTTGGCTTTGAGACTGGCCCGCAGTCCACGGCGGCATGCCATCTTCCTTCCCAGCAAATAATTAAAACCCAAGGGGAACAGCAAGGGAAAAAAATCAGTTCAGCAAAACCAGCTGGTTCACCAACCATGTATGGGCAATGTGTGTAGCATACCCTTTTGGGAGTGACTTTTCACCTTCATTCTAAGTAGTCCATGGACTGAGTGCTTGCTGTCCATAGTTAGTAAATCTCAAGTCACTGGCACATGGTGCATGGCTCCCCGTGGCGTCCAGTCATAGCATAGGTTTCCCTTTTGGATGGTGCCCCCCATATCCAGTGCCTCTGCTGTCTCACAGGGTTTATGCTTTTGAGGCTTAACCTGGACCTTTTTCTTTTCTTTTCTTTTTTTTGGTGAAGCAGTAGGGGTTAAGTGACTTGCCCAGGGTCACATGGCTAGTAAGTATCAAATGTCTGAAGCCAGATTTGAACTCAGGTTCTCCTGACTCCAAGGCTGGAGCTCTATCCACTGAACCATCTAGCCGCCCCTCATTTCTTTATCCCAGATTGTCCCATGCACCCACCGTGGTGTCCAAGCCCCTGAGTATCAAGCATTAGATGCTGATTCCATTTGGAGAATCTTAATCAAATTCTTCATAGAATCCTTTTTTTACTTTATCTTCAACTTCCAAGTGACACAGAGCATTGAAGTAAGGCTGAGGCACGGTAGTGTGAGGATTACAAGGATGTGTCAAATATGGGTGAGTCCTAGGGATTGATCAGAAATGGTCACGGCTAAGTTTATAGCCAAAGTCATTCTGTGCATTTTTAGTTTTTCTCAGCCACGAATGACATTTCCGAATTATTTTTCAAAAAGCATACACAGTTATAGAGGCAGATGTTTAACTTGGCCCCTGTATAAATGTCCTGATCTGGAAGTCCATCCACAAAGCTACGGGCCAACCCTGCGACATCTGTGCAGGATACCACAGAAGGGTAGGATTGTTTCTGATATTATAATTGTAATATTACTATTACGATAATTTCAATATTGTACTTACATTATTATTAAAGTAAAACAGACAGTAATCATGTTCACATTTCCCCCAATTAAAACTTGTGACCAGCTGTTAGAGAGAATGGAACATGAAGGAATTATGGTTAAACTTCCGATGGGGACATCCCCTGGGGAGATTCAGACTTAGTGAAAATGAAACTCCCAATTTGGAGCCTGCCTAAAGGATGGGACGGTTTCTAAGTGGTGTTTTTACAGCTGTGATTGCTGTTCTGGAAGTGTATCTTAAATAATCGCACAGAATGCACCAAAGGTTGGTCTCTCCCTCCACTTGGATTGTGAACCCCAGGGGAATGGGCCTCAGGACCCCCTCTCTCCCTTTCATATCTTGCCCTCAACCCTAATATCTCATTCCCTGAAGATGGTGATGCAGGATGGGGGACTGGAAGAAGCTTGAAGGTCACCTAGTCTAAGGTGATGGTTTGACAGAGAAGGAAACTGAGACCTAGAAAAGGGAAGGGTCCCACTGGTGTCCACACTACGTGACCCACCTTCTTCCACCCTCATGCCTTTGCATGGACAGGCTCCCCTGCCTGGAATGCCATGCCCCAGTTCCTTTTGGGGGTCAGCTCAGGCGCGACCTCCAGCAGGAAGCCTCTCCTGGTGCCCCCTGTTCTGAGTGCCCCCCACTTTGTGTAGGTGTTTTATCTGTGCCTTTGGGCTTTTCCCCACCGGTAGAATGGAAGCTCCCTGAAGACAGGTCCCACTTTCCATCATGTCCTTGTCTTCCCAGGGTCTCGCTGAGTGCCTTCCCCACAGCAAGTACTTAATATTTGTGAAATTGGCTTAATCCGTCAAGTATCTACTATGTGTAGGGATAAAAAAAAAGAGATAGTGTCTGTCTTGAAGGACTTTCCATTCTGTTGGAGGTGGTGGGAATGTGCTCACATAAAGACGTTCAGGGGAAAGGGTAAGGGGAGAGGAAGGGAGGGAGTCCGGAAGGCCCTCATCTAGAATGTAGCCCTTGAGCTGAGCTTTGAAGGGATTCAAAGAGTTCAGCTGAGGAGGGAGTGAGTGCAGTCCTGGCAGAAGGGACAGCCTGGGCAAAGACCTGGAGGCAGGAGATGATATGTTGTGAATAATATGTAATAAGGTGGCCAAGATGAGCTGGAGGCTGCTCATGGAGGGCATTAAGATGCCAACCGGAGGAATCTGTGTGTGTGTGGAGGACAAGAGGGAGCCCCTGGGCAAGGTGGCTCCCGGTCATGCCTGTGCGTTAAGCAGCCCAGGTCTGGCTGCTGTGGGGAGGGTGGAATGCAGGTGGGTGGAGAGCCTAGCTGGGATGCGGGTGGCCAGGTGCCCATATCCACTCTCTGGGCTCTCAGGCTCCTGCCAGGTGAAACCTGGGCACCGTCTCCCTGCTGACCACATGGGGGGTCTTGGTGGATGATGTCGGGTTCTTGACCCCCTGATCCTTGTACGTGAGGAATGTGGGATGTTGAAAGGGGCCGCGGCCTTACTTGATTTCAAAGGAACTGGCTGTTCCCAGCCGCACCAGCTGGGGATTAACTGAGCCATGTCCAGGAAGGTACTTGCTGTCCCAGGGAGGGAGGAGGGAGACACGGTGTTCAGACACGGACCCTTCATGCACAAATAATTGATACCAGGAAGCAGGAGCGACAAAGCATTGTGGGAAAACCCGGGTTCAGAAGGTCCTGGAGGTACTTAGGGGGCACCGCAGGGCCTGGGAAGACCCAGGTTAAAATCTGGCTTCAGGCACCTCCTAGCTGGGGGACCCTGGGCAAGTCACTTACTGTGTGCCTCGGTTGCCTCATGGGTAGAGTGGGGATGATAGCAGCATCTACCTCCCAGGGCAGTTGGGAGACCCAGGTGTGATCCTGTTTGTAAAGCGCTTTGCAGACCTCAGGGCTCCCTCTCCATGGTAGCTATAATTGCTGTCCTGATGTCATTAATTATTCTCACCTTCCTAAGTTAAGGGGAAAGCATGTTTTGAGCATGTCCAGTTTGGCTGGGTTGTAATTCTGCCAAGATCAAACACACTAGCTTTAATAATAATAACTACAGGTAAGTCTGTGTGTCCCCTGCTGTGTGCCAGGTCCTGTCTCAAAGCGCTTCACCTTTATCTCCCTTGGCACTCCAAACATCCCTGGGAGGAAGGGGCTGGGATTGTCCCTGGTTTTATCTGCACCACGTAAAGAACAGACACACGCACACGCACAGGTGCACACTTGGGGCACGATGGCAGGTGACATAGCCCCTGGGGTGATATTGCACTAGAAGTGGGGGTGGGGGTGTATTGTGCCATCCATCTGCTCCCCACCCCCGGAGTTCTCTCGTTTCACTGACAGGGCTCTTTTACACGTGGACAGGCTGGCTTTGGGAGTCCGTGGCTAGCGTTTATTAAGCACCTACTGTGTGCTGGGCATTATGCTACATTCTGGTTATCTATAAAATGTGACCAGTCCCCCCCTCAAGAAGTTCCCAGTCTAATTAATGGTCAGACCAGCTCAGCCACAAGGGCTTAATGCTGTTTGCACCCGGCCCTAACTGTTGTTGGACCTCCCAGTGTCCTAAGAAAATGCCTCGAGAGGGTCCAGAGGGCCCTTCCCACAGAGCCCCAGAAAGCAGCCTGGTGGGTTCGGCTCTCCCTGGCCCTGCCCTCATGGCCTCGGGCTGGCCCGATTAGCCACCATGGACTTGGCTGCCTTCCCCAGAGGGCGGGCGGGCATGCTGGTACCTGCACCCCAGTGACCCTGTGCTGTCTTCTCTCGCAGGGAGGTGGACTGGTTCTCCTTGGCCAGCGTCATATTCCTGCTCGTGTTTGCTCCACTCATTGTTTATTACTTCATCATGTCCTGTGATCAGTATGGCTGTTCCCTCACTGCGCCCGTGGTGGAGATGGTGACTGGGAAATCCAGCCTCTCGGACATCTGGGCCCACACGCCGGGTGTGACGGCCAGAGCGGCTCAGATCTACGTCACCTGGGTCACTTTTCAGGTCAGCCCCCCCTTTCCTAAACAGCTGTTACAGTACTCAGGCCGGGGTGGCTACCGCATTTCCTGTTGACTCTGAGTGCAAATAGCCCAGGCTGCCAAGACACACTTTCAAAGAGACTGGAGTTCCCTTGCTGGATTACAGCTGTCTCTGCCTCGTGACCCCTTTGGCAGGAGGAAAGGCTAAGTTAACGATGAGGTTTCTCTGAGTTGCAAATACCCTCAGATCAGAGAGGCTCCCCTGCTTACAGACCCTGACTGTCGCAACCTGACCAGTAATTTTGTCCCCACACATCTTATTTCAGGTGGTTTTGTACATGATGATTCCTGACTTTTGCCACAAATTTCTGCCTGGCTACGTGGGAGGCGTTCAGGAAGGGGCTGTAACCCCTGCAGGTAACTATTGTCCGCTGGCCAGAAGACGGCCAGAGTCCCCATCTCATTGTGCTTCCCTTCCCTGTCTGCAACAGCGTAGGGGTGCCCAGATTGATAGAAAAGAACGTCCAGCCCAGAAGGGGACGGCGCAGGAGAGGCATGTCCTGGGCCAGCGCTGGGGCCTCCTGACCTGCGGCCCTTGCCTCTGAGCCCCCACCTGGGACGGAAGGGTCGCTGTGGCCTGGGAAGGAGTAACAGGACGCTCGCCCCCTCTAGAGGTGGAGAGGAGAGCATTGCTGATGCGCCCGTCTCCCTGGCCACACATGCAGCTGCTCCCCCATCCTGTCTTGCTTCCCTTGCAGGAATGGTAAATAAGTATGAGATCAACGGTCTTCAGGCCTGGCTCATCACGCACCTTCTGTGGTTCGCAAATGCTCATCTCTTTCACTGGTTCTCTCCTACCATCATTTTCGACAACTGGATACCGCTGCTCTGGTGCGCCAATATTCTTGGCTACACTGTGTCCACCTTCGCGCTCATCAAAGGATATTTGTTCCCCACCAATGCCAAAGACTGGTATGTTCCATGGCCAGGTGGGAAAATCACATGGACCTTTGGTTTCTCATGGGGAGGAGGAGGAAGAGGAGAATGCATTGGGGGTGGGGGGAGGAGGAGGAAAGGAGGAGACTCAGCAGCTGAAACCCCAGATCACCAGTATACTTTTATTCATTTCTGACTAGCTAAATGTCTATTAGGTTTCACCCTGCTCCTTTACAATGTTTTTAAAACGTAAAAAGTTTAAAGACTTTAAAAAATGTTGGATTCCATTCTCCTGCCATAGTAAGCAGAATACTCTGTGGAGATCTCCCAGGCATCTCTCCAAGCCCTCCTCCCGACCTAAGCTGTTGCCATGGTCACCAGTGAGTCCCAGAGGTGTGGGCAGCAAGGGGCTCTGCCCTAATGCAAGGAACACCAGGATTGGGGGTGGAGTCAAGGGTTCCCCTCCCCCCAACTTGCTCTCTGTGAGACGCTGGGTGTTGACTGTGACGTCCACTCCCCGCCTGAAAGCAACAGAATGGGACTCGGTGACCTCTTCCCCTGACACTCTCAATAAACCCTCAAATCGTGGACAGTCCAGGCTGGGAGAGCCCCGGAGCACAGAGCTGGGAAAGCGGATTCTAAATCCAGAGGTCTTGCTGAACCTGCCACTTATTAAGCACCTACTGTGCGCCCTGCAGAACGTCCTCTGGAAGATGTGGGTCTGAAGAGGGCTTCTACCACTTCTGGATCCATTTGACTCCTGAAAATCTGCAGCAGAAGCATTTTTAAGGGAAGATTCCTGGTTTTCAGGTCATAACTGAAGCCATGCTACATTCTATTTTTTTTTTTAAACTTCCTCATCACAGGGGGCCGCAGCCCAGCCCCCATGATAGGGCGGTCACGTCACAGAACCATAAAATCCATAAAATGTCAGGTTTGGCAGAGACCCCGGAACCATTTAGTCTAGCAGGTGCCTGAACAAGTATCCCCTCTAAAACACACCCCCAACAAGTAGTAAGCATTTACTGTGTGCTGGGCAGTGGAGAGGCGATGACCGAATGTGAAACAGCCTTTCAGGGGGCTGCATTCTACTAGTAACATTTCACCAACATATCGGGATGTGTTTGTTTATTGGGATTCTGAATTTTCACTAACAGAGAGAACATTTTCATATTTATCTATATATGTTTATGCAAAATACATATAACACAGGTATATATATATATAATGTGTTAATGTAGTGTGTATATACGTGTCTATAAAACACAGTATATACTTGTGTGGATTAGGGGGAGAGACAGGACATTGACCACTGGGAAATCAGGAAGGGCCAGGTCTAGAAGGTCACCCTGGAGCTGACCTTTGACAGGTGCTCCTGGTTTCAAAAGGCAGAGGAGGGATTTCAGGTGTGGGGACCCGTCTGCAAAGGCCCAGGGGCCAGAAATGGAATGCCACGTGACTAGTGTGGCCAGATTGTAAGGTGGCCAAGGGCTTGGGGAATGAACAGAGTAGACGGTTAAACGGAAAGAGTAGCTAGCACTTGGAGAGTGCTTTTCAGGTTCACTGAGCACTTTACCGACAGTGGCAGCCCTGTGGGGTCAGTGCTGTTACTAACCCCATTTTACAGGTGAGGCGGGGTCATTTCAGCTCCGTTTCCTGATGCTGGGTCCAATACCACCACCTCATGGACCTCAGAGCTCACGGGAAGAGAAGCGGTTCCCACTTAGAGGTCGTGGCCACTAGGCTGAGGCATCTGCTGCCCCTGGTCACCTCTTGCTCTTTCTGCCCATTTCAGTAAGTTCACAGGCAACTTCTTCTACAACTACATGATGGGCGTGGAGTTCAACCCAAGGATAGGGAAGTGGTTTGACTTTAAACTCTTCTTCAACGGCCGCCCGGGCATCGTCGCCTGGACGCTCATCAACTTGTCCTTTGCGGCCAAGCAGCAGGAGCGCTTTGGCTCGGTGACCAACGCCATGATCCTGGTCAACGTCCTGCAGGTGAGTGAGTGCGTGCCCTGGGCACCAGCCGGCTCAGCTGTTCTGTGCCGTGGCTGTCAGCGACGGTGGTGTCTGTAAGGAGTCGGCCCTTCCTGGGTGACGGCGGGCCCTCCCCATTGGGGTGGGGCTCCTGCACCTCTGTGTGGGAGTCTAGCTCATCCCTGACCGGGGGTGTCCGGCCCTCACCAGTGCAGAGATGTCAGACGGGATGAGTGGTGAGAAAAGGCCTCAGGATCTGGCACTTACAAAGTCTTTGGTAACTGAAGACAGGATTTCCAAACTGTGAGGTCAGCAAACACAAGAGTGGGGCTCTTGCCCAGCCCCTACCCGAGGCCTTTTCCACGGTCACAATGCTGTTCACCTCTGGCATCACCCCCCACCTCCCTGCTCCTCCGCTCCTGCCCCTGCAGTGCTGAGGGAGCTGCATTAGGAAATCAACTGCAGACTTGTGTTAGCCCATTTCAGCTGGAATTGCCTTCAGTGCAGCTAAGGATCTGTCCATCTACCCACTCCAGGAAGTGGCTGCCCCAAGCCTCCATTTCTGTCCCCCAGCCTCACCCACCCTGAGAGCCAGGTCCTGGTGCCATATTTGACCAATGGGTGAAAAAGCCCACTTGGGCACCATTGGGCTAGGTGGCCCCTCTGCCTGGCAGCCTCTGCCCTTCACTCTGCCTATTGAGACCCTTAGCTTCCTCAAGGCACAGCTCAGATGCTACCAAGGCCTTGGCTAATCCCCCCGAAATTGCCTCCTTTCTCCTTTTCATCAGTTCTCTGGACTTTGTACCCACCCCCAGAGACTGGTTGAGGGTCCTGGCGGATACCAGGCCAGTGAACTTTCCCTTGCTATCTTTCAGGCTCTTTATGTGGTAGACTTTTTCTGGAATGAAACCTGGTATCTGAAAACCATTGACATCTGCCATGACCACTTTGGCTGGTACCTGGGCTGGGGCGACTGCGTCTGGCTGCCTTACCTCTACACCCTCCAGGTGAGATGTGTGGAGGTGGGAAGTTCATCCCGCCTCCTTTCAGACCTTCTTGGGAGGGGGAAGGCATGATCCAGGCTCCCTGGCAGACACAACCAGGAATTGTTCTGTCCCCATCAGCCTTCCAAAGTGGAGGAGGCATCGCCCATTGCCAACATGGGGCTGGCCTCCATGGTTGTTAGGCCATATGAACTCATGAAGACCCTCCGTTCAGGTTCGGGGGGCCAGTATTATTAGCAGGATGCACCCCTGACACCGTGGTCTTTCTGAGAAATGGGACTTATCAGCCTTATTAAGCACCTCCTGTGTGACAGCACTGGGGATAGAAGAAGAGACAAAAGACTCTGGCACACAGTAGGTGCTTAATAAATGTTGAGTTTAAAAAGTAGATTAAAATCTTACGGACCAATACTGCACCCAACATAGGAAATGAGAAAAGTGTGTTTAGGGAGATGTGACTGACAGCCAATGCCATGTTGTGCTCATCTGAAAATACGTTGTACCAGCTTCTTGGGCGCAGACTGGCTCGTCTGGTCCTTGCCCCAGCCTGTGTGGTAGGAAAGCCAGGGAGTCTGTTTTTGTCCCCATTTTGTAGATGAAAAAGGTAAGGGCCGGAGCTGGGTAAGTGATGACAGCAACGGGCATTTCTGCAGCACGTGATCCGAGCCTCACCAGGACCCATCGTACACACGGGGTAGCCTCTGAAGCTCAGGGAGCTTCCTGCCCTCGCTCACACAGCTAGTAAAGGTCCCAGGCAGGATTTGAACCCAGATCGCTCCTCATTCGGAATCCAGAGTGTCTCCGGTGCAGCGCGGCCAGATAGGAAATAGCAGAGCCAGAATTTGCCCTCGGGCCTTTGGCTTCCCAGTTTATCTCCCTGAGGGCACTCAGTGAATGCCCCCAGAAAAGCCTTCCTCCCTGCGGGGGGCTCCTCAGCACTGACCAGATCAGCGGCATGATGCAGGGATCCCCACCCTTGTGCCCTGGGGCCCTTTGGCAAAACCTGAGCACCCCTTCCCAGAACGCCTAAGATAAATCACATGGGATTACAATAGAAGTGAGTTCTAGGGGGCAGGTAGGTGGTGCAGTGGATAGAGCACCGGCCCTGGATTCAGGAGGACCCTGAGTTCAAATCTGGCCTCAGACACATAACACTTACTAGCTGTGTGACCCTGGGCAAGTCACTTAACCCCTTTGCCTAGCCCAAAAAAAAAAAGAAGTGAATTCTGTTGAAATCCAGTTATCGTTTTTTGGAAGCTCACAGACCCCAGGGTAAGGCCTCCAGGACAGTGACAGTCAGGAGAGGACAGGGCCACATCCTGCCCGTCCAGCTTAGAAGCCCGGACACCTCCTTCCATGTCGTTGAGCCTCGGTTTTCTCACCTGTAAAATGGGGACCCCGATGTCCAGAGGACCCCAATCAGGGCATCGTTGTGGGCGTCCTTCAGCCTTACAGCACCTGGATGGCTCAGATGGAGATCTGATGGGTGCAGAAGTCGGGTGGGGACATCCAGCCAGGCAAAGGGGTGCCCTGGGAATGGATGCCCCTTGTGAGGGAGGGGGATGGGGTTGTGTTTGCCCTCAGTCTTCACGATGCTTCGTGGGTCCTGGGAGGAGGGTGGGCTTTTAGAAGTGTCCTCCAGGGCCACCGGTTCATTTGACAGCGAGGGAAGGCGAGGCTGGTCTGTGCCAGGGCGATGGCCGCCATTTTGAGAACCGCGAGATCAGCGCCCAGCCCTCCAGGCTTCCCCTTTCCTCTCGTCGTCCCCGCAGGGCCTGTATTTGGTCTACCATCCGGTGCAGCTCTCCACGCCGCACGCGCTGGCGGTCCTGCTGCTGGGCCTCGCGGGCTACTGCGTCTTCCGGGAGGCCAACCACCAGAAGGACCTCTTCCGGAAGACCGACGGGAACTGCCAGATCTGGGGCCGGAAGCCCAAGTACATCGAGTGCTCCTACGTGTCGGCCGATGGGCGGAGGCATCGCAGCAAGCTGATGGTGTCAGGCTTCTGGGGCCTGGCTCGCCACCTCAACTACACGGGGGACCTCATGGGCAGCCTGGCCTACTGCCTGGCCTGCGGCTTCTCCCACCTCCTGCCCTACTTCTACGTCATCTACATGTCCCTCCTGCTTGTCCACCGCTGCCTGCGTGACGAGGACCGCTGCTCCCGCAAGTACGGCCGCGACTGGGAGCGCTACACCACGGCTGTGCCCAAGCGCCTGCTGCCTGGCCTCTTCTAGGGGGACCCGGTGGGGCCCGAGCCCCAGAGGGCTGCAGGAGCTCCCCCAGCGCCCCGTTCTCAGCAGCCACACAGCCTGTGTACAGAGGCCAGCTCGTGGTCAGAAGGGCAGTGTGAGGTCCTTTGATTCCCTGGTGTGCTCTGGGATTCTCGATAGTGGTAAGAAACTCTGTGAACCAGAGTCTGGGAAGCTGAGTGGGGAACGCTACCTCGGGTACAGGTCGACTCCGCCTCGGGGATTCGTGCCCTGAGCTCCTCCAGCCGCCCCTCAGATCAGAAGCCAAGTTCTCTCTGCCCACGCTCGGTCTCGGGCCCCTGCGGCCCAATTTTCTTGCACAATATCCCAGGGTCTGAATCGGATTTCTTTTCCTCAGCAAGTCAAAGGAGTCTTTTTTTTTCCCTTTTTCTACCTTTCTTACTGAAAGCTAAGGCTTTAATCCCGTTAGTCAATCCACTAGCATTTCTTACACACCTACTGTGTTCTGGACACTGTGCTGGGCTCCAGTGATACAACGAAAGGCCGGTGACCATTCCTGCCCTCAAGGAGCTTACCTCCTGGGGAGGAGCCAACGTGCAAGCAGCTGTGGCCAAACAGGATGGACAGGATGGATTGGAATTGCCTGCAGAGGGAGGGCACTGGCGTTGAGGAAGTCCAGGAGGGGCTTCCTGTATAAGGTGGTGGCCGGGAGGCAGGATGAGGTGCTGGGGAGATGGAGGCCCTTAGACAGGGAGTAGCCGGGAGGCCGGAGTCACTGGATTGCTGAGAGCATGGCGGTGTAAGGCCCGTGCATCCTGGAAGGGCCGGCGGGGGCAACGAGACAGAGCTGAGCAGGACGTTTGCTCTTGTATCCTGGGGCTTAGGGGAGCTTAGGGCTGGACGCCTCAGTCTGCGAGCCTGAGTAAGTGACTCGGGCCTTCTATTCAGCTGGTCTCTTTTAGGTTCAGATCAAATCCATTGGAGGCAGAGCACCGTGGCCTTGAGGCCTTGGCACGGGGTACCCGTCTGTGGCTCAGACTGTCTGGAAAACCAGGGTCAGGTGACCATTTCTCAGTGCCTTGGGCAGCTCTGAACTGCCTCTGTGGAGGTAGTTTCCACACTGGAAGAGCTGAGCTCTCCACTTCAATAAAATCAGGTTTGGACCCCACCAAAACAAATTCTCCCCCTCATGCCGTTGCCCCTGGGGCCGTGAAGTTTGTCTGGCCTTCAGCCACTGGGCATCTTTGAAGCAAAGCTCTGTAGACGGGAAGGATGCTGGTGACGCTCTGTGCCAGTCCAGACTGCTTTCACTGTGGCCCAGAAGAGCATCAGCTCTTTGGTATGGAGCAAGCTTCCTGATAGGTCCCCCCACTTCCACACTGCCCAGGACATCTGGGGGTCCATCCCCGGCAGAATTAGAGTCCCAGGGCTTAAAGGGAACTTCAGGACCCCTGTGATGGAGCTGGACAGGAGTCCCCAAGATCCTCCCCTTTGCTATTTCCCGACTGGCTTTGTGGCCCAGCCCCAAGCACAGTGCCTTTGTATACAGTGGCATTCAATAAATGGTTGTTGATTGAGAGTACTAATTCTTAGGAAAGCCTGTTTGCCCATAGCCTTGATATCACCTCTGCCGCCTAGAACCACCATTCCTGGTTCTACCTAAAAATAGTTATAACCTTTCCACACCCCAATTTTTGCCTTCTGTCCCCAGGCCCTTCCCCCAGCCTCAGACGGGACTTTGTTCCAGGGTGCTAACCTCCAAGGGGCCCCTGTGCCTTGCCCTGAGGGGGGACCATGTGGCACTTGGTGCCAGGACCTTCCTGCCCATCTGCCTTGGGGCCAGACCCACCCTCCCCAAGGGTTTTCATCCCTCTTAAGCCTGCATGTGGCAGGGTCTCCGTCCTCTCACCGTCCTGGGGGCCCGTCCAGAAGCTCTGCCCTCAGGTATGTGGCGACCAGGCCAGGAGATCAGAAGACACCCATCTCCATAAGCCATGCCACCATCACTGAAACCTCCGTTCATGTTCCCTTTTCTGGTTCAGGTGCCTCCCCAAACCTGTGCTTTTTCTGTTGATTTTTTTAAAGCAAAAGTGAGACCCCTTTGATTCTTACTGAATTTTCTCCTACCTTGGGAAGATGCTTTTGAATCTCCTAGACTGGAAGTTCCACGTGGTCAGGAATGCGTTCTTTTCCAATCTTTGTATCTTAACACTGAGCCCTGTGTTCCACATACAGCAGGTGCTTAATAAACATTTGTGAAAAAATGAATTCTGTTGTCTGACGCATTAGCGCTCCCCTCTGCAATCTGATGCCGTACCGAAGCAGGTGAATCTTCCTCATGCCTGGAGACCTGCCTGTGTCCCTCCCCTCCTCAAACCCTGCCTGTGGACCCCCTAATGGCCTGGCATTCAAGGCCCTTGCCTTGCCAGCCTGCCCTCCGTGAGCCCTCCCTCACTCTGCCCTTGTCAGTTACTTCCCTGTACGGAGTCTCCCTTGTAGAATGTGATCTTCTGATTGGATCCCTGGTGATTGGTAGTAAGCACGTAAACGTTTTTTCATTCATTCATTTTTCACTTGATCCTCTTATAACAACCACCATTTTGACACCAGGGTCAGGGGGAGGAAGGAAAGGGTGGGGAAACACTGGTACAAGCCCCCTCTCCATCACTCACCTTCCTCTCTTGCCCCGGCTTCATCCCACCCCCATCTTCCTCTTGGACGCTTGACGGCCCTTCGATCACCCTGTCCTCCAAGCCCATCAGCCTCAGCAGATGGCCAGGGGATAGAAACTTGGGCCTAGAGTCAGAAAACCCAAATTCAAATCCAGCCCTAGACACTACTAGCTGTGTGACCCTGGGTAAGTCACATAACCTCTGTTGTCATCTGTTTCTTTATTTATAAAATGGGTTTAATATCAGCACCAACCTTGCAGGGTGGTTGTGAGGATCAAATAAGGTAATATTTGTAACACGCTTAGCACAGCTTACGGCACGGCATGTAGCAGATGCTTAATAAACGTGCGCTACTCCTATCCTCACCTCCTGGACCCAAATCTCAGAGGAAGATATGACTCACCTGTTCCTGAAGCCATCCCTCTACTTGTGCCCTGGCAACAAGACCCTCCCGCTGCCTGGCTTGTGCCACAGATCATTCTCTTCATCTTCAGCCGGTTATTTCCCAGCACTTTGCCTGATGTATGTAAACATGCCTAGCCCTCGTGCTCTGCTGAGAAAATCTCCTGGCCCTGCTCTTTCCTCAGGCCGAGCTGGGGACCTCCCACTTCCTGGCTCACCAGCAGCCACCCCATCCCCAGGACCAGTGTTCCTGGCTACCAGATGAGGACCAACAGACCCTTGTCCCCTTCCTCAACCGAGCCCCCCAGCGACCCGTTCCCACCCGTGTTGAGGGACCCACTTGTCTGGATGCTGCCCTGCTGTTGCTTCCAAGGCCCTCAGGGCCCTCCATCTGCCCTGATGTCGTCTGCTGGGACCCAAGGACCACCAGGACTTTTGTGTCCACCACGAACCGAAGCCTTGCTCATATGCTTTCACCTCACTTAGGTGGGAGCCCCTCGAGAACAGGAGCTGTCTCACCCTTCTATTTTCATCCTCATGGTTGGTACACAGAATAAGTCCTTTAAAAAAAGGTGTTCTTATTTCTCTAGCCAATGTTACTCCTCCACCCCCAAATCTTCATTAGTAACACAGGTCGTGCAGCGGATAAGGTGCTGGGCCTACAGTCAGGAAAACCAGAGTTCATCCTGACCTCAGACGGCTGTGTAAATCTAGGCAAGTCACTTCACCTGCTTGCCTCAGTTTCCTCAACTGTAAAATGAGGATGATAATAGCACCTGTCTACCAAGTGGTAGTAATGGTGGGGAGGCTTAATAAGGGTAGTAGTGGTGGTGGTGGTGGTAGTAGTAGTGGTAGTGATGGCAATGGTAGTGGTAGTAGTGGTGGTGGTAGTGGTAATGGCAGTGGTGGTGGTGGTGGGTGGTGGTAGTGATGGCAGTGGTAGTGATGGCAATGGTAGTGGTAATAGTGGTGGTGGTGGTGGCAGTGGTAGTGGCAGTGGTAGCAGTGGTGGTGGTGGTGGTGCTGGCTGTGGTGGTGGTAAGAAGAGGAGGAGTGGTGGTTATCATTTACCTACAACCCAGCAAAATTAGACAAGTCTTATCCATCTCCTACCACGAGCCTGCGCTGGGGCTCTTGACTAATTCTATGTTGCCATCTTTTTCCTCCCTGCCCTAGCATCAGAGTCCTGGAAGACTTCGCCTGAGTAGAGATGAGCCTGAGGAGTCAGAACCATCCTTAGCTGGAGGCAGGGAGGAAAGCAACCAGTTTCAGTGAGTGGGAAAATCCCCTTTCAGGAATGTCTGTAAATTCAAATGAAAAGGGAATGAGCAGACTTTGGAACTGGTGACTCATCACAGGTGCTCCACCCTTGGGGATTAGGGGATTCCTTTGTGGATTATAACAGTTTAGAGAATTTGCCTTGTTCATTCTGCTGAGCTTCTTTTTCATTTTTTTTTAAATAAGGGATGGCTTTTTATAAGGGGAGGAGAAGGGATGTCCTTGGAAATGTGATATAAATATTAAAAAATCATACTTATGTTTAATGTTGTGTAATGCAACTCAAAGAGTAGTAGTGAAGGTTCTATGTCAACTGGGAAGACAGTCACCAGTGGAGTGTTCCAGGGATCTCTCCCTGACCCTGTGATTTAGAATATTTTATATCAGTAATTTGCATAAAGGTATAGATGTTGTTTGTCAAATTAGGCATACAGGTGACTTGGTGGATAGTTTTGGACCTGGAGTCAGAAAGATCTGAGTTCAAATCCTGTCTCATACACTGACCAGATAGGTGACCCTGGGCATGGCACTTCAAATTTCTCAGCCTGTTTCTTCATATACAAAATGAAGATAATAATTGTACCTTCCTCATAGAGCTGTTGTGAAGAGAAACATTTCAAGTGTTTTTCAAACCTTAAAATCCTACATCAATACTCCTTACGTTAGGATGAGGACGAAGAGGAGAAGGCGTAATTAAAACCCCAGATTACAGGATCAGAAAAGGATCTTGGCAGTTTAGGAAATTCGCCTGAATGAAATGAAATGAAATATAAGAGGGACAGATGAAAAGCCTTACATCTAATTTGATGAAATCAGCTTCCTGTCTTTCAGTCAATGCATCCTGTGCACCAGGCATTAGGGGAGGCAGGGTTAGAAATTAGCTCTCCCTGAATTACCCAGAAGCTCAACAAGCCAACCCTGTGATCCGGAAACCAGAGGAGCCAGGGTGGCCTCGGGCTGCCTGGTGGAGGCAGTGCCCAGTTCCCAGGACATCCTCCTCGCCTCTGACCTGGTCGGCCCATCTGGACTGTTCGGCTGAGCTCCAGACATCATGGTTTATGAAGGACATTAGTGAGCTGAAGTGTCCAGAGGACAGAGAAGACGGTGCAGGTCTCTGAGGACAAGCCCTATGAGGAAGAGTGGCAGGGGATGGGGAAATTTAGCTAAAGAAAGCTAAAGAAAACAGGAGTGGGGTGGGGTGGGGGAAGAGGAATGGAGCAGGGAATGAGCGCTAAATTCAGGTATTTGAAAGGCTTTCCTGTGGAAGAGAAGGTTTTGACTCCGGCATGGCCGGGATGGAAAAACTGTGAATGGCTGGTGACAGTTACAAGGACCTTCCTGATGATCAGAGCTCTGTGAAAGTGGACCAGGCCACCCCGGGAGGAGCAGGGCAGGAGCTGTGCTAAGGGATGGGGATGCTGATACAAATCCAGAAAGAAAGACATCCCTTGCCCTCAAAGAGCTTGCGTTCTAATGGGAGAAAATTGTACATGAAGAGGAGCTGAGAACTTCGTGCCAAGAAGGCGGAGCCCTCTGAAGCCCCCCCCCTCTGCCCCAGCTCCCCTGCAGACAACTAGAAGACCACTTCAGAACTGGTCTGGGAGCAGGCAAGCGGCTGACCAGGCTGGCAGGAAAGGTCCACCCCCCTGGGGTGGGAGGCAGTAGGGTCCAAGAGCAGCAGCAGCAGCAGCCAGCCTCCCAGTAGGGGCCCTGCAGTAGGGCTCCTAGCCTGGGGCAATCCACCAGCGAGGCCCTCCCCTCTTGCAAACCAGGAGCCCCCAGGCAAGTGAGCAGTCTGCACGGTGCAGCAAAGCCCCCAGGAAGGCTTCTTGACCCCACTGCTGACTACTAGTGAAGCTCCACTCCTGGGGCCTGCTGGCAGAGGTCCTGTTTCCATAGCAACACAGCAGCAAGGCCCTACCCCTGGGACAGGCCAGCAAGGAGGCCCCACCCCCCAGTACAAGCCAGAAGGGAAGCCTACCCTCCAGAGAAAGCAAGCAGCCAAGCCCCGAATCAGCCCAGGGAAAGCCTGCAGTAAGACCCTGAGCCCAGCACAGAAAGCTTGGGACGGTGCAGGACCAGAGCCCAACTCTCACATAAAAAACATCAGGTCACCAAAAAATGCAGAGAAAATGAACAGAAAACAAACAAATAAAAGAGAATTTGACTATAGAAAGTTACTATGGTGACAGGGAGGATCAAGGCATAAATTTAGAAAAGGACCGTAGTGTCAAAAGGGCTGCATGTGAAGCCTCAAAGAAAAATACATTTTGGTCTTAGGCCCAAAAAGAATTCCTGAAAGAATTCAAAAGGGATTTTAAAAAGCAAATTAGAAAAGTATAAGAAAGGTTAGGAAAAGAAATGCAAATAATGCAGGAGAATCATGAAAAAAACAGTTAATAGTATGGGAAAAGATATACAAAAATTTACCAGCAAAAATAACTCCATAAAAAATAAAAAATAGAATTGGTCAAATGGAACAGGAGGTACACAAGCTCAATAAAAAAAAAATTCCTTAAAAATTAGAATTGAGCAAGTAGAAGCTAATGACTCTATAAAATAACAAGATACTATAAAACAAAAGTAAAAAAAAAATAGAAGAAAATGTGAAATTCCTCATTGGAAAAACAACTGACTTAGAAAACAGATACAGGAGAGATAATGTAAGAATTACTGGACTACCTGAAAAGCATGATCAAAAAAAAAAGCCTGGATGACATCTTTCAAGAAATTATCAAAAGAAACTGCCCTAATATATTAGAACCAGAGGGCAAAATAGAAATTGAAAGAATCCGCCTGTCACCACCTGAAAGAGATCCCAAAATGAAAACTCCCAGTAACATCATAGCCAAATTCTAGAGCTCACAGATCAAAGAGAAAGTTTATCTGGCAGCTTCCACAATAAAAAACTGGAGGGTTTGGAATATGATATCCCAGAAGGCAAAGGAGTTAGGATTACAACCAAGAATCACCTACCTAGCAAAATCGAATATAATCTTTCAAGGAAAAAAATGTATATTTAATAAAAGAGAGGATTTTCAAGCATTTCTAATTAAAAGACCAGAGCTAAATAAAAAATTTGACCTTTAAACACAAGACTTAAGGGAAACATAAAAAGGTAAAAAAGAAACAAGAAAGAGAAAACATAAATTCAATAAGGATAAACTTAATATTTCTATACGGCAAGATAATATTTTTAACTCTTAAGAACTTTGTTACTATAAGAGCAATTAGGAGTATAAATAGACATAGTGTGGATATAAGGTGACTTTGATGGGATGATATCCCCCCCCAAAAAAAATTAAAGGGGTGAGAAAGAAAATTGCATTGGGAGGAGGGAATGGGTGTAAATTATCCCACATAAAAGACACATGAAAGAGCTATTATAATGGAGGAAAAGATCGGGGTGGGGGAAGGCGGAGGTGACAGGCCAAAGCTTAAACCTTAACTCTCATCAAAATTGGCTCAAACAGTGAATAACACACACACTCCATTACATGCAGAAATCTATCTTACTCTATAAAAAAGTAAAAAGGGATGGGGATAATAGAAAGGGGAGGTGGGACTGATAAAAGGGATGGTAGATTGGGGAAGGTGGTGATCAGAAGTAAAACACTTCTGAGAAGGGGAAGGGTGGGGGTAACAGAGAGGGGGGGATAAACAAGGGAAAAATAGGATGGAGGGAAATACGTTGTTAGTTATTGTAACTATAAATGTGAATGGGATGAGCTCACCCATAAAACAGAATTGGATAGCAGAATGGATTAAAAACCAGAATCCTACAATATGTTGTTTACAAGAAATACATTTGAAGCAGAGATACATACAGGGTAAAGTTAAGGGACTGGAGCAGAATCTATTATGCTTTAGCTGAAGCAAAGAAAGTGGGGGTAGCGATCATGATCTCAGAAAAAGCAAAGGCAAAAAGAGATGTAATTAAAAGAGATAAGGAAGGAAACTGTATCTTGCTGAAAGGTACCACAGAAAATGAAGTCATACCAATACTAAATATATATACACCAAATGATACAGCATCTAAATTTTTGAAGTTGAATGAATTACAAGAGGAAATAGATAATAAAGCTATAACTGGTGGGAGACACCTCAACTTTCCCCTTTCGGAACTAGATAATCTAATCAAAAAATAAACAAGAAAGAAATTAAGAAGACGAATACAATTCTGAAAAAGTTAGATATGGTAGATCTCTGGAGAAAAATGAATGGAATAGAAAGGAATCTACCCTTTTCTCAGCAGTACATGGCACCTATACAAAAATTGGCCATGTATTAGGACATTAGAAACCTCAGAACCAAATGCAGAAAAGGAGAAATAGTAAAATGCATCCTTTTCAGATCATAATTCAATAAAAATTACATTCAATGCATGGACAATGGAGATTAAAGATTAACTAGAAATTAAAGAATCTCATCCTAAAAAAACAGTGGGTCAAAGAACAAATTATAGAAACAACTGATCATTTCATTAAAGCAAATGACAATGAGACAACCTACCAAAATTTATGGGATGCAGCCGAAGTGGTACTTACGAGAAATTTTATATCTCTAATTACTTAAGCATCAACAAGATAGAGAAAAGGCAGATCAGTGAATTGGGCATGAAATTAAAAAACTAAAAAAATAACAAATTAAAAATACCCAATTAAACACCAAATTGGAAATCCTGAAAATCAAAGGAGAGATTAATAGGAAAGTAAGAAAACCATTGAACCAATAAATAAAACTAGAAGCTGGTTTTATGGGGAAAAAACAATAAAATAGATAAACCGTTTGTTAACTTGATTTTAAAAAAGGAAAGGAGAAGAAAACCTAATTACTAGTATCAAAAATGAAAGGGCTGAATTCACCACTAATGAAGAGGAAATTGAGACAATTGTTAGGAGCTATTTTACCCAATTATATGACAATAAATTTGACAAACTAATTGAAATGAATGAATAGCTACAAAAATCTAAATTACCCAGATTAACAGAAGAAGAAATAAAATACTTAAATTATCCAGTTTTAGAAAAAGAAATCGAACAAGCCATCAATGAACTTCCTAAGGAAAAAATCCCCAGGACCAGATGGATTCACAAGCGAATGCTATCAAACATTTAAGGAATAATGAATCTCAATACTATATAAACTATTTGGAAAAATAGGTGAAGGAGTCCTACCAAATTCTTTTAAGATACAAATGTGGTACTGACACCTAAACCAGAAAGAGCCAGAACAGAAAAAGAAAATTAAAGCAATTTCCCTAATGAATATTGATGCAAAATTTTTAAATAAAATATTGACAAAGAGATTACAGCAACATATCACAAGAATCATTCACTATGACCAGGTGGGATTTATACCAGGAATGCAGGGCTGGTTTAATATGAGGAAAACTATCAGCATAATTGACCATATTAATAACAAAACCAACAGAAATTATATAATTATCTCAATAGATGCAGAAAAAGCCTTTGACAAAATACAGCACCCATTCCTATTAAAAATACTTGAGAGCATAGGAATAAATGGAGCTTCCATTGAAATGATGAGTGATATTTGTTTAAAATCAGCAGCAGCATTATCTGTAAGGGGGATAAGCCAGAAGCCTTCCCAGTACAATGAAGGGGGAAGCAAGGATGCCCATGATCACCTCTATTATTTAATATTGTACTAGAAATGTTAGTTATAGAAATAAGAAAAAAAGAAATTGAAGTAACTAGAATAGGCAGTGAGGAAACAGAACTATCACTTTGCAGATGATGTGATGTTATACTTAGAAAATCCTAGAGAATCAACTAAAAACCTACCTGAAATTATTGACAACTTTAGCAATGTTGCAGGATAGAAAATAAACCCACATAAATCATCAGCATTTCTGTACATTACCAACAAAGTCCAGCAGCAACAGATAGAAAGAGAAATTGCATTTAAAATAACTGTAGACAGTATAAAATACTTGAGAGTCTACCTGCCAAAACAAACCCAGAAACTGTATAAACACAACTATAAAACACTTTTCACACAAATAAAGGCAGATTTAAACTATTGGGAAAATATTAATTGCTCATGGGTAAGTCAAGACAATATAATAAAATTGACAATTTTACCTAAATTAACTTACTAATTCCTGGGCTGGTGTCCAAGACATAACAGAAAATCTCTGGAGACTGCCCCAAACTGATAAGCTTTACCCATCACTGGGGATGTACATGGATGGGCACAAATGATCCCTCAGAAGGAAGCAAAAATGTCTGGCCAACAATGGAGAAGTCCAGAGAAAGAAACTGAAGGCCACAGGGGCACAGGCTGTTTTCCCTGATGTCCATTGAAGGCGAGAAATAGCAAAGAGAAAAATGGATTTGGGAAGTGGGGCCTGGCAGTGAGCTTCTGGACCACTGCATCCAAGATGGGGATGACCAGTTCCTGACCAGAAATGGAGCACACCTAACAAAGGCTGGTAAGAATGTGTCAGGTGTCTTGCCAACCTAATCAAAGAGGTTTTCAATTTAAAAAGAGGGTGGGGGCATGTGGAGAAATGACCCCCCCTGTACTTTCCTAGAATGAGATACCATAGAACACAGTCAAGAAAAGCCAATGAGACAGCCAGAAATTCACAAAAGACAATACAAGAAAAGCTCCAATATTGAAAACCAGCAGTTTTAAAGCCCACTACATTGCTACCCAGCAAACAAGAAGAAACAAGTCCCTTCAGCACCACCAGCTGCCTGTGGGAAGGACATCTCAAACTGTCCAGAACTGAGCTCATCATCTTCCCCCCAAACCTTTCCCTCTTCCAACCTTCCCTGTCCCTCAGGGTCATGGCATCAATGTCCTTCTCAATTTCCTTCTCACACGCACTCACTCACTCCATGGATCCTATTTGTGACCAAGGCTTGTCACTTCTACTCTCAAAACATGCATCCCACCTGCCTTGTCTCCTCTGACTCAGCCCTGCCCTGGAGTGAGGGTCCTCACCGCCTCTTGCCTGGATGATGGTCCCAGTCTCCTGATTGGCCTCCCTGGCCACCAGAACCACTTCCCCATTACAAGCCGCTCAGGTGCCAAACTGATTTTCTTAAACAGAAGGCTAACCAGGCTACTCCCCTCCTCAGTAAACTGCAATGGCTCTCTATTTCCTCCAGAACCAATGTAAAGTCCTCTGTCTGGCTTTCAGAGGCTTCCTAACCCCCTCCCCACCCTTCCAGGCTTCCTCCACCTTCCTCCCCTCCAACCTATTCTTGGATTCAAAGATGATACAGGTCTCCTTGCTACTTCTTGAACTCAACACCCCATGCACTCACTGTTCCTATCTCTGCCTGGAATGTTTTCCCTCTTCTTCCCCACCTCCTGGTTCTCTGACTTCCTTCAACACTCACTTCAAATCCTACCTTCTGTAGGAGTCAGCGGTGGAGTCCGGCAGCCCAAAATAAGATTAGCTGGATGAAGACAGCAGAACGTCCAGAAATTTGCAGTTGACAGCCTTACCGCTGTTCCCTGGTTAGATTTCACCTGGAGAATCACTGGGCCAGCAGGTCCAGAGGAAGAGGCCTGAGAAAGACAGGGGAAAGAAGGGAAGACTTGGCAGACAAGATACCTCCCTCAAGCCCCTGAGGAGGAAGGGGGAGACTTCTCTGTGGCCCCACAGGGCAGAACCAGGAGGAACCAGCAGAAATTTCCAGAAGGTGATTTTAAGCTGGAGATCAAGAAATGCTTCCTATCATGAGACCCGCCCCAAAGCAGGAGGCAAGGGGAATTCCTCCTCCTTCAGGTGGGAGGCCGGATGGCCATTGGGCCAGTGTTGGACCAGTGCTCACCGAGGTCCTTTCCAGCTCTCCAGGTCTATGAGCCTCTGGACCTCAGTTTCCTCTTCTGCATGCTCCAGTTTCTTGGGGTTGATGAGTAAAATATTCCCTCTTCTGATACTCCTGGCTTCTCTAATTGGGTTACTTGTCACCCACCAACCCACCCCTGGGCCATTCTTTCTCATGTCTGATCCAGCTGTTAATATAGCCAGCATTTACATAGCACCTACTGCATTCTGGGTGCTGTACTAAGCTGTTTACAAATATCTCTCTTGATTCTCACAACTCCAGGAAGTAGCTAGTACTGCAGCGGAGGAAAGAGAGGCACACAGCAGTTAAAGTGGCTTAGCCAGGGTCACACATCTAGCGAGTGTCCGAGGCCAGATTTGAACTCAGGCCTTCTTGACTGTAGACCCAGAACATTATCCCCTCTACCCCCTAGCTGCTGCCAGCAAATCACTTAGGCTCATAAAGAGAGGACCAATTTACCTAAAAGAGCCTGCATTGTGATATCAAGGAAATACCTCATCACCCAGCCCCCTGTGTTCTCTGAGCCCCCCAGGAACAGGTTGGGGGAGTCGGCCATCCTGGCCCCAGCAGCCCTGAGGTCCATCTGGGGAAGCTGCAGATGATGGGCAAGCTACTGTCGCAGCATCACAGGAATCCAGAGGCCTCCAGCTCAGGAAGCCGCTGCTGTTTGATGGAAGAATTTGGCTCTGAGCAGGAGCTCTGCTCTCGCCCTGGGAGGCCTCGGGACCAGGAATGGGTTCCAGCCCGGGGTAGGGGCTCTGAGAGTTGGCATCAGGGTCTGGACTGCATGGATGACTTTGACTCAGTGGGGCAGGACTCCAGTTCTACCAAGCTTCTCTCCAAGGTAAAGGAAAGACTGCCTTCCTCCCCTGCCCTTCCCTGGAGTGGCTTCTGGGGCCCAGCCAGGTGAGGCCCTCTTCCCTTGCTGCCTCTCTGGTGCCAGGTACAAGGGGGAGGGGCAGCAATACTGAGGACACTGCCCTGGCACTCTCAAAAACCAGGCTTCATAGCCTTCTCAGGACACATGAGCTCTGTTGTACTGCAAGCTGGACACATGCGTTCATTCAGACGCCACATCCCCAGGGCACAGCTGGGTCCCAGGGCCACAGGGACTGAAATGGCCTCTCTTCACAAGTCAAATGGGGGGCACACTGACTAGGGGGCAGCACCCCACTCCCAGCTCTGACCTAGGTTCTGCAGTCTAAGGGCCCTCGCATCTTTGACAATCCATGTTCCAAGGTCCTTCCCAGCTCTAGCAAGCTAGGTTCTAGCTTGGACATTCCACATTTCCCTGCCCTGAGGTCCCATCCACCTCTGACTGCCAGTGTTCTAAGCTCCTAGCCTGCAGTTAGGAGATGTGTCACCAGAGGGCAGTGGTGCCTTGGTTGGATTTACCTTGGTAAAGAAAAGGAAATAAGAATACGCCCTCATTTTCTCTATTTTTATTCACTGAAGAATGCCACGATCTGAGCTCCAGTGTCCCAAAGCCTGATGGGAGCCCCTGAGGAGGGGGAGGGTCCGCCTGAAGCTCAGGTCTAAGCTGAGAAGGAGAGCAGTCCCCAGAGGAACTTGGGTCCTTAATGAGTCTTTGTAGAGGGCAGTCAATACTCCACACCCGTGATCTCCCTGGCTCCTCACCAAGACCCCGTGGTGCTGTCCCAGGGTAGCCTGCTATAGTGCATGCCACACACCGGAAGGCCCGGGGTCAGGTCCCCCTTCCGGCCCTTACTGGCTTTGGGATGGCCTGGGTCCAGAGGGGCTGAGCTTCCTTGCCTGGCAGCTCTCTAGACTCATGAGATCACAGGCTAAGGCCCCACCCCTAACAGTCCCCAGGAAGCAGGGATCATCCCGTTTATCATCACCATTTTACTGATAAGGAAACTGAGGAAGAGAAGTTAAGGGACTTGTTCAGCCACATAGAGGATAAATTTAGGCACAGAATTTGAACCCACATCCTCTGATTGCCACATCCAGAGCTCACTGGCGTGTTGCTCAGTTATTTCAATTGTTTCCAACTCTTCATGACCCCACATAGAATTGTAATGGCAGAAATACTAGAGGGGTTTGCCATTTCTTTCTCCAGCTCATTTTACAGATGAGGAAATGAAGGCAAACAGAGTTAAGGGACTTCCCAGGATCACACAGTAAGTGTCTGAGGCCAGATTTGAACTCAGGAAGACTCATCTTCCTGACTCTAGCTGTTTGTACTGCGGTGCCCCCTAGATGCCACCAGTATATGCTGCTTATCCACTTGAACAAGACAACAATTCAACAAGCATTTATTAAGCACCTACTGTGTACCCAGCACTGTGCTAAATCCTGGGCATACAAAGACAAATCCAAAGCTTTCAGTCCCTGCCCTCAGCTCAGCCTAATGAGGAAGACACATGCAAAGCGGGACCAAACGAGGGATAGACAGGAGGAATTTGCAGTAATCTCCTTCAGTGGAAGGCAGCATCCAGGGAGATTTGGAAGGGCTTCCGGAGGAGGTGAGATTTCAGCTGGGTTGGTCTTTAGGAGGGAGCTAGAGAAGATGGGGGAGGGGAGATTCCAGGAGTGAAGGAGAGCCAGTAAAAATGCCCCAAGTGGGGAGAGATCGAGGGCTTTGTTTGAGGAGCAAGCAGAAGGACAGAGGTACTGGGTCACAGAGTATCTGGAGGGAAGAAAGCTCTTACAAAAAAGAAGATGGAAAGGCCCAGGTCATAAAGGGCTTTAACAGTCAAGCCAGGTTGCACATTTGATCGTGGAGGTGACAGGGAGCCCCTGTGGTCTGCTGAATAGAGGACACCATGGTCACTTTGGTGGCTGTAGAGGATGGCCTGGAGCAGGGAGGGACTGCAGGCAGGCAGACCTCCACCCCACCCCCACCCCCACCAGCTATTCCTATAGTCCAGGTATGAGGTGATGAGGGTCTGCTCCAGGGTGGGAGCAGGGTCAGAGGAGAGAAGAGGACATAGGCAAGAAATGTTCCTAAGTTAAAACTGATGGGCCTTGAAAACAGATTGATTATGGCAAGGGAAAGAGAAACAGGAATTGAAGCTGCCATCAGGCAGCTAAGTGCTGCAGTGGACAAAATGCTGAGCCTGGAATCAGGAAGACCTGAGTTCAAATCTATCCTCAGATTCATACTAGCTATGTGACCTTGGACAAGTCACTTAATCACTGTCTTCCTCAGTGTCCTCAACCGTAAAATGGGGATAATAATAGCATCTCCTTCCCATAGTTGTTGCAAGAATCAAATGAGATAACATTTGTAAAGAGCTTAGCACAGGGCCTGGGCACATAGTACATGTTATATAAGGGCTAGCTTATTATTGTTGTTACCTAAGTTGGGAACCTGGGTGACCAGGAGAATGGTGGTGCCCTGCACATAATACTAGGGAAGGTTGGAAGAGAAGAAAGGACAATGAACAAAAAGAATAGCATTGAAAAGATTGAGTCTACCCCAGCTGGATGAGTCATCTCTGCCTTGGACGTAACTTAGTTCTCCTGTCCCTATGCAGGTGTGGTCTTTCATGACCTGGCAGGCAGAGCATCTCAATTTGGGATGGTCCCCCAAGAGGACATGGTAGGGTGGGACGAGAGAGTATCAGAGGAAAGAAAGGGAGGGTCCTGGGAGAACCAGAGGAGAGCAGGTAAACCCCGGCATGGGCGGATGCAGAAGAAATGGGAAGAACATAGAAATGAGGTCATAGAACTGGGACAAAAGCTAGGGCAAGGAGGGTGTGTGGGAAAGAGATCTCAGAGTTTCCCGAATGATGACCTTGAACAGGGCATTGCTTTTGCACACTGTATTTATTCAGGGAGGAAAGATGGGATAATGAAAGACTCACAACAATGCCTGACTAATGATGATTGATAGACTAGGGGTAGAACTGCTCCAGGCAGTCCATTATAGACAGGAGAGGGTGCTGGTCAGATGAGCTGGGTTCAAATACCAGTTTTGACCAGATGATCCAAGAGGTAGAAAGATATTCCACCTGGTGATAAAGTAAGAAACCAGACACTATATTTCCCCAGTAACTCTCTCTGATTTACAAAGGACCTTCATGACAACAACCCCATGGAACAGGTCATATAAAGCCCTAACAATCCCCCTTTCATAGATAAGGACATTCAGGGTCAGAGAGAAGAAATGATTTGCCCAGCTTAGTCTATCAGAGATGAGATTCAGCCTGGAATCCTGTGACTCATGTGGGCTTTGACTGATGCCATGTGCATTGCCTCTCAAAGATGAAGCTTCCAAAGGGGGAATGTTTTGGCAGGTGGAATGTTGAGACTCTCAGAAAATGGGCTTGCAGGGAGGAATAGTGGAAAGAGTGATGAATTTAATGTTGGAAGACCTGAGTTCAAATCCTGGTTCTGGTATTTGTTGCCTTACTACTGGCATGACTGGGGCAGCTAACTAAACCCAACAGGTAGTGTGATGGATAGAGTGCTAGACCTGGGAATCAGAAAGATCTGAGTTCAAATCTCATCTCTGACACTTATGGGCTGTATGAACCCTGGGAAAGGTCCCTTAACCTCTCTGTGCCCCATTCTACTCGTCTTTAAAATAGAGACAATAGAAATGAGGTTGTTATGGGGATCAAATGTATAAAGTGCTTTGCAAACCTCAAAGCGCTACGTAAATCCTTGCTGTTATGATCATTAACCCTTCTGGAGTTCAGCTTCCTCATCTATAAAATGAGGTACCTGGACTGGACAATCACTCAGGTCTCTCCTTGTTCTGAATTTATGAGCAAATGCCTCCAGGGAGGGGCAAATATAGGTCATAGGCTACAGACACAGTCCTGCATACATCTGGTGCTGGCAGACCTGAGGTAAAGGGGTCTCGGGGTTTCTCAGGGGCTTTTTTCTCAGTGCTTTTCAGTCTAGTTCACCAAGCAGGAAGGGAGATGGAACCTAACTAATCACATGAATTAGACAATCGGAGAGTACTCCCTATGCCCTGTTCTCTTTCATTGGACAAGATACAGGGGAAGAAAGCCAACCATCTTGAGCTCTAAAGCTCAGTTAGAAGAAACCTCAGTGTTCTTTAGTCTGACCCATACTGGAATAAGAACCCCCTCTCCATCCTCCTCAACAAGGGGCTGTCTGACCTCCGATGAATAACGTCACTACTTCCTAGGACAATTCATCCTTCTTTTTGGACAGTTCCAGTTGTTAGGAAATTGTCCTTACCTCAAACCAAAATCTGTGTCTTTGTAACATATCTACCCTCTGGGGCCAAGCAGAACACGGCTGCTCCCTCTTGCCTTTGCCCTTCAAATACTTGAACGCAGCCATTATGTCCCTCCTGGGTCTTCTCCAGGCTAACTACCCCCATTTCCTTCGGCATAACCCAAGCCGTCCAGCCCACTGCCATTCTGGGTTATCAATGTCCTTCCTAAAACATGGTACCTCGAACCGCCCACAGTCCTCTAGGCATGTTCTCACCAGGACAGGATATAGCAGGACTCCCTCCTCCTGAGTCCAGGACATGTTCAGGTGGTCTCAGGGCACTTTAGCTGTTACACTGAAAAATCTAACATCTGGCCTCTTTTGTTTGTTTTCTTTGTGTTTAGGACTTGAAACAAGACCTTTCACTTACTCCAAACAACCCTGTGGATGCCCCCAGTTACCCAAGACTTCCAAAGACACGGAGGAGCAATTTACCCCATTAAACCAAACAGTGCACACAGAGCTGCACGATGTGTCTCCTTGTACTCCATTGTGGGGAAGCAGCTTTGACACTCAGATGAAGGAGCAGAGATGAAAGGAAGGGCAGCAGTGCCTTTGTCTGAGGCAGAAAATTAAAAACCTTCTGAGTTAGAGGAATGGAAAAGTGTGCAGTGAGTGAAGACAGCAAAGCCAGCTCACACACAGAGAGGAGGGCATTAAAATGTGCCTCCCCTAGACAGCTGCCCCAGTCCCTTTGCAGGTGGGGTTCAGTAAGGCACCAGACCCCATTCTTGCATAATTACATTGTGGGGGGCCAGGGAGGGAATGGATGCATGGTAGTCTTTTGAAAACCCCTTCTTTTGTCAGATGACAGGAGATGGGATGGCGTGGGAGAGGTAGTTTTGATTAGGGAAGAAAAACAGAGAAGGCTAGCATGGCACCCACTATTGCCCCTGGTGGGGGCATGTGGCCAGGCAGAGGAAGCAAGAACAGATTCTGTCTCTGCATCCCTAGCATCTGGCTCACTCTCAAAGCCTCTGATGAGTGTGTCCTCCTCAGCTCTGGAGTTCCTTCCCGCAACCTGGACCAGACGTCCCCTCCCATGCCTGCCCATCTCATATAGCCCTTGCCCAGGTCCTCTCACAAGTTGGCCACCCAACATGCTGGGGGCCATCCTGACTTTCTGCTGACATCTTCAGGGGGCCCTTCCAGTTCTCCAGTTCATCCCTCCAATGTGCCTCCTGCCCCAAGCCCACCTTTCTTTGATTCCTGCATCTGGTCTTCTGCTCCTCTTCAGAGTCCCTCCTCAGTTAGGAATTACAGCCTGCTCTCACCTGCCCTGCCTTTCTCTGGGATGCTCACCCTGAGCCCTTCGTAGGCAGTGGCGCTCATTCATTCACTACCAAATAGCAACACCTGTATCATTGGCCAGGTGAGCCTTGGCTTTCATGGGAACATTGAGGTCAGGAAAAGAGCTTGGCCATTTCCTGAAGGTGATGCAGCTCAGTCTCTCTGCCCTTGTCAACCCTGTGGCCATCTGCACTGTTGCTCCCAGTTACACAGACTGTTGGACAAATTCTATAGGGATCTCACATGTAACTGTGGGTTGAAATCCAGGTAACAGACATTCTTCATCAGAGGCAGAGCCTGGATCAGCCTAGAACCTCCCTGGTGGGGAAAAGGAGGCTGATGTGGCCTTGACAAGTGTTCTCTGCCTTGGCCAAGTCCCCTAACCCCATCCCCGCCCCCCCCCCCCGGACTTTCTATCTCCAGATACCATGCTGACTGATGCCTCTCTGAGAGTGAGGCCAATTAAATACATGTTATGAGACTGAACCCCTGCTTTATAAAACTTCTGCACCTCTTCCATATCCCAGAACAACCCTATTGTATGGAGCTGACCCAGGGATATGTGCAGCAAGCTTGGGAAGAAGTGATAGAATCTGCCCTAACCCTTTCCTGTGGTTCTCGATCCTTAGCTGCCCTCTGACCATCTGACCCAAGTCCTGGGCCTCCTGTGACAAAATCTAGGCTGCATTCTGCTCCTCCAGAAAACCTCTTTTCTTGGGCATATTTCACTCATTCCTTTAACAAGCATTTATTAAGGCCTGCAATGTGTCAGGCACTGGAAAAACAAAGTCAAACTCTTCCCTCAAAAAATTTACATTCTAATGGGGGAATTAATGTGTACACATATACTGGAATACAAAATGTTACGCAGCTGAGTAGAGCAATGGACAGAGTACTGGACTTGGGCTCAGGAAGACCTGAGATCCCATCCCCCCTCAGACATTTATCAGCTGCGTGACCCTGGGTAACTCACTTGCCCGTTCTTAGTCTCAGATTCTTCATCTTCAAAGGAAATAATAGTGTCTCCCTCACAGGGTTGTCGAGAGGAGCAAGTGAGGTAAGAAGTATAAAATATCTTGTACACCTCAAAGCATTCTATCCATGCTGGCTATCACTTAAAAATACACAAAGTACATGTACAGACATTTCAGGGATGAAAAGAGAATTAGTGACCGGGGGCATCGGGAAGTCTCATGCCGGGCGGGGAGAGGTACTTGAGCTGAGTGTTGAAGAGAGCAGACCACCATGACAAGTGGAGGTGAGGAAGTACTGCTTTCTGGGCTGAACAGTGGGACCATCTAAGCAAAGGCACAGAAATTACAGGTGAAACTTTGTATCCAAGGAGTAAGTGCCTCAGTTTGGTTGGACCAGAAAAGGCGGTAAGGGGGGGAATATGCAATGAGCCTGGTGATGTAGGTTGGAGCTAGACTGTGAAGGGTTTGAAATGCCAGGGGGGATCCTATTTCCTCCCCAAGGCAATAAGGAAGCACTGGGGCTTCCTGAGCAGGGGCCTGAGGTGGTTAGATATTCGGGGAAGATGTATTCAAGAAGAAAGGCTTGAGGCAGTGAGATCAATAAGGTCTGCTGCAAGTGTCCAAGGGAGAGGTGATAGAGCCTTCATGAGGCTGGTGACTGTATGAGCCTAACAGGTAGGTAGCCCAGTAGAGAGACAGTTGGTCCTGGAGTCAGGAGGACTTGTGTTTACATCCAGCCCTAGACACTGATGCATAAGTCACTCAACCTATGGGCAGTTTCAGATTCCTCATCTGTGATAGCTCTAATAGCGCCATCTCCCATAGTAGTTATTAGAATAAAATGAGACAGCTGTGATATCTTTTACAAACCTGTATGTTGCCATATAAGTGCTAGTTGCTGATATTGTCATAGTCATCATTGCCATCCTCCTCTTCCTCCTCCTCCTCATTGCCTAGGGGGTGAATGTGAGAGCTGTTTTGAAGATAGAATCAGCGAGACTTGCCGAGTGATTGAATATATGAGAGGAGGGAGAAGGAGGCGACCTTGGGGTGGCCATCCCCTTAGCAGAGCTAGAGGGGTTTGTAGAGGAGCTAGGTTGTTGTGAGGGGCAGGAGTCGGTCAACTCTGTTTTGTCCATGTTGAGTTTGGGCTGAATTAAGAATGTCCTCATCCTCTCCATCGATTCCCCATTCCCCTCATTTCATAATCTGCCTCCTTTCAGTTCACACATTTCTGGGATAATAACCTTGTTGTCCCTTCTTACACCAACATCTTGTTAATATTATGCTGCTGATTACTTACAGCCACCATGGTCCTTAGTGTAACCTGCAATTTTGATTCCTCCGGAGAGCTTCATGCTCCAGGGTTCTCTCCAATATAGATAAAGAAGACTGGTTGAGTCCCTAGCCTAAACCACCATTTCGTGAGAGACTCTAGCTTGCTATGCTCATTTCATTCCTGATTCAACTCCCTCTCCAAACTTCGTCCCCACCAATCTGGCTCCACTTAGCTACCCTTTCCCCAGTTCCCTCCTTTCTAGTACTCCTTTGGGTGCTGTCTTCACTCATTAAAATGTAAGCAGCTTGAGGGGAGAAATTGCCTAATTTGCTTATATTTGCATCTCTATCCCTTAGCACAATGCTACTGCATAGTAAACACTTAATCAAGGCCCTGTCTATCTATCTATCTGTCTGTCTGTCTATCTAAGGTCAGGTATGTGTTCATGTGGAGGATGAGCGCTTTGAATTAGCTTGCATTGTCCCTTGAATTAAGAAAAGCAGCAGTGACAGATTAATTCACCACAATGCTCGTTGAGTACGTTAAAACACGTATGATAATAACCAGAGAAATACACATTACGGCAACCCTTAGGTATCCGCTCAGCTATCAAAGATGCTGAAAATTGAGTACACTTATTGTTAGGACCAGGCCAACAGGAATACTAAATCGCTTGCAGCTGGGAATTGATTCAGCCATTCTGAAAAGTATTATCCAAAAAAGTTATCCAGCTGTTCATTCCAATTGACCCCTAGGTCCCACTACTGTGATTGTAGCCCAAGGAGGTCACTAGCAGCCAGAGGGAATCCATAAATACAAAAAAAAATCATTCCAGTTTTGTACAAAACAGCTTTATTGATAAACACCAACATGGAGAGACACAATAAATCATCCTGAAAAGCAAACAAAACTCTGTATGTAAGCGTGCACCATGATCCTTTCCATTAATTTTTCTAGGTCGCAACCATTTCCTATGCCTTTCAGCTAGACTTCTGACTTTCTTGTAGCACATGTTGATTTTAATTTCTGAAATTATGAACTCTAAAATGTTAAGGAGAGAAGAAACCAATAAAAGCCAAAATAATGAGAGAAATGCCAGCTTCCTAGTCGAAGTTGACTCTTCCACAACAACAGCTCATAGAAATCAGAGCTCTGCTCCTGCCTAGCAGATGCTTCTTCCACGACAAAAATGTGAAGATTATAATCAGAAGGCAAGAGACAACAAATAATGAAATCAATGGAAATGCTGGCTCCAGGGAGTGATAGCCAGCATTCTTGGCCAGGAAACTGATGACTGCAAATTACATAGGATGCTCTGAAGAAGAGATCAGAACTGGCCTCTGGAGGGGCAAGGCAGCACAATTATGCCATCATTGTGAAAAGCAAATGGATTCAATTGACTTCAATATGTATTTTTTGTTTGGTTGTCCCAAAGCAATAATGAAAAATTAAAGAAAAAGTGTCTTAGAAGAAATTACACAAATGAAAGACCTCTAGGAACAATCCCTCCTAAAAGAGAACAAGCTAATTGAACTCAAATATCACACTAGTTTACTTCAAGAGCAGAATTCCGAAAATCAATGTTGAAAGTCTTCCATATTTTGAGAGTTCTCATCCGTTTGGTTACCTCCTCTGAGATGTTCAGTGTCTCTCCAGCACTCTCTAGAGAAGCTGTCTCAGGTGCTGAAACAGGCTCCCTGATTTGGTCTGTGGCTGCCCCCACAGGAACACTACCTGAGGCTGTCTCTCTGTGATGCGTCACTCTTGCTTTGTGACCAGCCCACCCCTCCTTAGATGATTATAGCTTGGATTTTCTCATAAAATTAATGTCAAAGCATTAGAAGCCCATGGATTTAAAAATGGACACAAGAAGCTAAATGCTGCAACTGCAAAGGACTAGACGTTTTAGAAGAGAAGTCCATCTTCAGAGATCAACTAATGGCTCAATTAATAAGTACAAGTTAGTGGGCCTACTACGCCATGAATTATAGCAGGCACTGGGAACACAAAGACAGGCAGGAAACAGATGCTGCCCTCGAGGATCTTGCATTCCACCAATATATTTGGAACCCTGGACTCTGGAGTCCACAGACAGTGCTGAATGTTAGGCATAGACAAGTAGGGAATCTCTGGATTATGATCTGAATGATGCTGAAAATTCTTCTGCACTAAATAAAGTCGCCTCCTGCCAGCTTCCCTGAAGTCTGTATAATGTCCCTTGGACACATTTATATCTCAGTTTCCATTGTCTAATGACCTTCTTTTTCCTTTGCTGCTGGTCCCATTTCCTCCTCTGACCCCATTTTCACCAATACCAGACCTCCATGGCTATGGGCTTAACAAAGAAATGAGGATCATCTTGAATTTGACCAGAGACCTGGTGCAGGTATGCTAACAGCTGCAAGGAATAGCCTAATTCTCGGGGCTGTGACGCTAACCTTCCTGTCATCTTGAAAATGATTTAGGTCTCCAAGTACTCATGTGTACTGATCCACTTTAAGTTAAAATAACTTTTGTGAATGCATGGATGCTGTCACATTGTGCCTTTGTCCTTTTGCACTTTGAACTAGAGACAATGTGTAAGGTTCCCATTGTAGCTTCCTCAGAACAGGCAGTAAATAGGCTCAGTGGTGCTTGGCCAAAATTTTATTAATGATTTTAGTCCAAGGCAGTGAATCATTTTTATAGCAGAGCCCCTTCAATTCAATCCAATTCAATAAGCGTTTATTAAAAGCTTATGATGTGCCAGGTTTTGTGCTAGATGCTACTGAAAAAGAGAAAAAAAAATGGCCCCTGTCCTCAAGGAACTTGGATTCTACTGGAAAAAAAAGGAGTACATTGGGTACTTCCCAATGGTTTTTAATGAAATAGATCCAGTGTAGAATATTGTGTAAACACCAGAGCTGACTAGAGGCTGAATCACAAGAGTCAGGAGATCATTATGATCAACAGTCGATTTAACTGTGAATTGTCAGCATGAGGAAAAAAGATCAACAAAAAAGCAACCAAAGAACATGAACGCACAATTAAGCTGCATTGGTCTGTGTTTCCTTACCTGCTCTGACAGTCACAAGATAGTCATTTGCTCATTCACCAACTATTACTAAGCACCTCCTAGATGTCAAGCACTATGCTAAATGCTGGAGATAACAAAGGCAGAAAGATGATCCCTGCCCTCAGTGAGCTTCCAGTTTGGGGGGTTAAACAATTAAGTATAGACAAGATGTATACAAGATGAATTGGAGATAATCTAAGGGGAGGACATTAGGGGTGTTAGTAAAGGCTTCTTGTAGCAGGTGGGGTTTTAGCTGGGACTTGAAGGAAGCCAGGAGGTTGACGTGAGGAGGGAGAAAATTGGGGTTTCTTCTATATAATCTCTGTATTTTCTCACCATGTTGGTGGGGCTGAAGGAAGCCAGGCACTAATCTACTGCTACTAATTAAGATGATTGCTTTGGAAATCACTTTAGGAATTAGACAAGAAAAGTTCTAGAACTGTTACATCCTCTGACTGTGGGATCCCACTACTAAGTCTCTATGCCCTGAAGGAGGTTATTTACAAAATTAAAAAGTCCCTTCTGGAGAAAAATTATTCACAGGAGCATTACTTGTAATAGCCAAAATCTGGAAGTTACGTGCCCATTGATTGGAAATGGAATGGAATATTATTGCACGTGGTAGGAAATGAGTGTGAAGCATTTGGAGAGATGCGGGGAGATAGCATAAAGAAAGTCAAGCCACGGAAGCCACATCCACAGAAACTTTAAGAAGGCAGATGAAGACAACCCCAAAGGGATGCAAGATGCAGGGGAAAAGCAATGGCCGTGGGGTTGGTCTTAGCTTGTAAAAGTGAGAATTCTTGGCCTTCCTGCTTTTGTGCTGGCTTGAGTAGCAGTTTTCAGGGAGTATGCGTTGTTCATGTTTGATTTTTGTTTATGTTTGTCAGCTTTGCTGAAACACAATATGTCCATGATCAGCTAATAAATGTCACATTAATTTTTTTTTTCTGAGCCACATAAGCAATATTTTTTGGCTATATGAGGTGACAGCTGCCTCCGTATATTCATTTATTCATTTCATTAGCCAAATATTAACTAAATGCCCACTGTGTGCCACATGCTGTGGACACCTAGGGATTGGGGTGAATACAGTAAGTGCTGGATTGGAATACAGGAGACCTGGGTTAGAATCTAACCTATGCCCTGCCTCTTATGAACTGTGTGACTGACCTTGCCCTTTACCTCTCTAAGCCTCAGTTTCTTCACCTGTAAAATAAAGCATGTCCAAGTTTCCTTCCCTCTCTGTGATTACAATTCTTCATCTTGTGGGGCTGTCCAGAAGCTTGCGACAATACACAATGTCACATGAAGAGGACATCAGAGCTGGGTCATTTTTTCTCTTTTTGTCTTTCTTAACAAGGGAATGTTTCATTGGGATTGGGGGTGAGGTTACATTGGAAATCACTGTGATGGTAAATCAAAAATAAGCAAAATGCATTCATTGAAAAAAATGAAGTATTGTAGAGGTGGATAACTAAGGTAGGGCCCTCCAGCATGGAGAGCTGCAATGTGGCCCAAGGGATTGTTAGGTTTCTTCACCCCGACTGGTTCTCCATCCATTAGGTAACACTTCCTCTCACTGTATGATAGCATTTCACCTATAAAGCAAAAGTTTGCTTACCTGTCAATGGTAATGGTATTGGCAGATGAAGAGTGAAATAACAACTCAATTCTAGAAGAAGTCTTAGGGCAGGGAGATAAAGCAGTTGATTTTATTGTCTGTGGCATGGGTTGAGGGCAACTATTCCCCAAAACTTAGGTCTAGCGAAGACTGGCCAGGCCACTCTGCCATCATATATGTTCAATCTCCATGTATAGCCAGATCACTGGATCTTAAATTGTGAGGGTCCTTAAAACAATGAACATAGAATGTAAGAGATAACCAAGTCCAACAATCCCCTCATTTTACAGGGTCAGAAAGTAAGGTGTGGAGAGGGAAAGGAATTTACCCACTACCATAGGCAGCAAAGCCAGTGTGAACCCAGGTTCCATGACTTCCAATCTAGGAGTTTTTCAGCCACCTGACACCGACCGGGAAAGTGTCTAGAGGTGAATAGAAGCCAGACAATTTGGGGCCCCAGATATCTAGCTCAGGTAGGGGCTGTCACAGCCTCAGTAGGTTAGACAGAAGTGAGGCCCAGGACCCCCCAGGGTCAGAGATGTAGGTCCTGCAAAGGTCACAATGCAGACAGGCCCTGCCAAATCAGGGTCCAAGGATACCTGGGTCAGTAAGCAAAGAAAGTCACGGTGGAAATGGTTATAAATGCATGGGGCCGTCAAAGCCAATCATGTGAGAGAATGAGGAAGTGGGGGGAGGGGGGGAACCAGCAGCAAAGATGCCCAAGGAAAGCCTGTGGTGCTGACAACACCTCCCTGGGGCCCTGAGTGGTGGAACTGGACAGCAGGGCGCTGGGTGGCTGGCCCTGATCGGAAAGGGGCTCTATTTCTCTGCTTAGCAGCTGCCTTCCTCAGTGTGGTGATGGGTGGGAGGATGGTTGAGTCCCCAGGGACAAGGAACGACCGCCTCTGGGTCTCTGAGATCCTCAGTCTTTGCCTTTTGGCTGAGGACCTAGCAGCCCTAAGACTGGACCCAGGACAAAGCAGGACTACACCGTCTCTTTTCAACAGCCACAAAGAAGTTGGGAGAAGTTGAAGATCCTGTGGCTGTTGTATTTGATGGTGGCTCCAGGTACTTCAAAGTGGGGTATGGCGGAGAACAAGCCCCCCGATTTGTTTTCCCATGCGTGGTTGGGTGCTACCAAAGGCAGGTTAGTGTTCGCTGAGATGAATAGCCTCCATATCTGTGGAGTTCTTTGGGGAACACCAAGCTGGGAGGGGCAGTCCCCACAGCTGCTCTGGGACTCAGAGGCTTTCATAAAAGAAACAGACTGACTGACTAGTTATGTGAAAAAGCCAGAGGCCTTCAGTATAGGCACCTTCAAATTCATACAAAGGACATCTTGAGGCTGTACTTACAATGGGAGGGACATGAAGGAGAGTGGGGTTCAGGGCAGGGAATGACGCTGGGAAAATTGTAGAAGAAATCATTAAAAAGATGGTTCCTGAACAATTAGAAAGGGAAGCAGTGATCACAGAGAGCCAGTTGGGCTTCATAAAGAGTAGGTCATGCCAGACTAACCTCAATTTTTTTTTGACAGGACTACTAAACTATAATAGATGAGGCAAAATTATGCTTCACCTAAATTAGCAAAGCTTTTAACAGGTAGCTCATACAATTCTTCTGGAGAAGATGAAGAGGTGTAGGCAAGAGTATAGTAATACAGGCAGATGAATTCAGGACTAGCAAGGGTGAATGTTTTAATGTCAAGGTGGAAGGAGGTCTCCAGTGGGGACCATGGGGATCTATGCCTGACCTATTGCTCGTTGATATTGTTATCAAGGACTTGGAAAAGGTATTGATGACGTATTTATCATTCACAGATGACAAAGCTGTGAGGGAGGAGAGCTAACACAGTGAGTGACTGGTCCAAAAGAATTTTGACAGACTGGGCCATTGGGTTGGATCAAATAAGATAAAGTCCAATAGGAATAAATGTAAAGTTTTGTACCTGGATTCAAAAACTCAACCTCACAATACAAGATGTAAGTTCACAAGAGTTAGAAAAGGATCTGTGGGTTTTAATGGACTGCAACCTCCTTAGGCATTAGCAATGTAATTAATGCAATTTGTTGCTCTTTTAAGAGAGGGTGGAGTCTCACTCAGCAGTGTCTGATTGGCTTCCCATCTCTGATGTCATAAGTAATCAGAGGTCAGGGATTGGCTAAGAGGTGCAGGCTGTACAAGTTTCCAGCACAGAAAATTCTGGTATGGAAGATTCCAGTCAGCAGGGCAGAGAGCTAAACATGAGCCTTATGATTCTCAAAGAGGCCCATAAAACTGAAGGCTTTTTTGAATGGCCCCACTTGAGTTATTGCCCTGGACCTGCCCCCAATAACTGTGTGACCTTGGCCAAGTCCCTTCCACTCTCAGAGTCTCCTTCAGCCTCTCCTCCTTTGGAAAGATGCTATTGTAACCCCTCATTTGAGCTTAAAGGAGCCAGGTACCTCCCTGTGCCTTCCCTCTGGCTCTGCCCTCTTCCTACGTTTTAGTTGACTTCTCAAACTCTATATCTCCTTTTACTCCTGAATGAAACGCCTCCATCTATCCCATGAGGCTCTCCAGGTAGAGGCCAAGCATAGCTAGTAGTATTTGGGGAGATTTTTCTCCCTCTTGGGTATAATCCCCTTGTAAATCCTTCACAATGACTAGCTGGGCCACCTTGGGCCAATCCCTCCACCCCTCTGGGCTTTACTGTCATTTTCCTGTGAAATCAGGGTCATAACCACACACACACACACACACACACACACACACACACACCTTAAATCATGACATCAATATGACTCCCAGTTATCTATGAGGCTCTGGATTTCTGGGTAACCTAAAACAGCAGTAGTCCATTCAAAGGCCAATTGTGTCTGTTTTGCTTTGAGAGACAAGATAGGAGTCATTAATAACTTTCCAAATTATGTTTGACTCTGGCTGATTTTGACGTGAATTTATTTTCCCAGAAACCCAGCTTACCCAGGGTAGAAAGAGTACTTGGTTTAGAATCACAGAATCTGGGCTCAAATTAGAGCTTTGCTATGAGAGGAAAGGGAAAAGCTTTAAATAGCACCTACTGAGTGCCAGGCACCATGCACTGAACCAGCACTTTATAAATATTATTTCATTTGATCCTCATGACAACACTGAGAGGTCAAACTTATTATTATTCCCATTTCACCACTGAAGCAACTGAGGCAAACAGAGGTTAAGTGGCCTGCCCCAGGGTCGCATAGCTGATAAGTGTCTGAGGTTGAATATAGCCTCATGGCTTCCTGACTTGAGGCCCACTGCTTTATATACTGTGGCAGGTCAGCAGGCACCAAACACAGTCCCAGCTGTTAGAGGACAAGGCCCTTTAAAAGGCTTTTTACTTGAAAATACAATGAAAGGGCATCTAAACTCCCTTTTTGGGAGTCCCAAAACTGAGGCTAAGCTTCCCTGTCCCCCACTATCCACACACCTGGGCCTGATGATCCACAGGAATCCATTGACCACCCCCTTGGCATCCCTGGCAGGAGCTGAGCCGCACTCACCCTGCCACCCAACCCATGGGTGTCACACTTTGGCCTTGAACTCTGCTGTTCCTGATCCCAAAGCTAATCATCTGCTCTCTCATGCCGGTTCTAAGGAGTATAAATCACGGGGAGTTGCTGACACACAAACACATGTATTTGTACATATATACATGTATATATACTGACATCTATGCGCGCGCGCACACACACACACGTGTGGTTGAGGAAACCAGGGATGTTTAGCTTGGAGCAGAGAAAAGCAAAGGAGGCCAGATAACCATCTCTGAGCCATGAGACATGTTTTGTCTGATCCAGAAGGCACCACAATGAAACCTGAATGGAGGTTGGTAAGAAGCAAATGGAGATGGACTTTCCTGACAATGTTGGCTGCCCAAATATGGCTGCTACCTTGGGAAGTAGTGAGCTCCCTGTCCCTAGAGGTCTTCAAGCGGAGGCTGAAGGACCTCTTATTAGGGAAGTATATCACTGAGGGGATGCTTGGTCAGCCTTGAGTTCTCTCTACTTTGAAATTCTGTGATTCTGAAGACAATAATAAAAAATAATCACGATTAATTAATTATGGGTTGCACTGTATTGGGCTTTATTGCTACCAAGCCTTCTCAGCATCTCATGTGCTTTTCCTTTGTGTCAGCTCAGGCAAGGATTCCCATTATCTTCATTTGACAGAGAAGGATGAGTCCGCTCATGCTCATACGATGCGTCAGCATCAGAGCTGAGAGGAGAACCCAGGCATCGCAGGCAATACTTGCTCTGCCCAGGCCCTGGGCCAACAGGGACTGATCAGGCATTAATTATTTGAAATGCAGTTGTAGGCCTTCATCATGGAAATCAGAGGAGGGAGGGGTTACCTGTAGCTTTCAGGAATCACGTAGTAACCAGTATCAAGAAGGGAGGAGTTGTTTGGATGTGATGAACTGTTCGTTCTCATGGGATGGTCCATGTCATTGAGGTAGTTGTGTGCCTGTGGGCCAGAACGCACCTGGAGGTGTCGTTGATGAGCATCTTTGTAGCTCCAGTGGGTGTTTGCTTGTGTTTGCTAAAGGACTCTTTAAAAATCTGGATCCACTCTTTTCAGATCATGAACTTGCACTGGGGTACCCCTAGGCAGGAGACACCAGGTCTCCAGACTCCAAATCCAGGATGCTTTTCACCTGGCCATTTCTCTATTCTCTTAAGCACAGATCCTATTCAGGCATGCTTCGTCAAGTCCAGGGACATGGAGATCCAACTTAAATCCTACTACAGTCTTGAGCATAAGTGCTTAGCATTTGCTTACTCTGCCCTGCTTGCAGCCACTTGTATTTAATCTGAAGTTATCATCTCTCGGTGCCTGGCCATTGGGTCACTGGAAAGCCTTGGTTGGCTTGAGGCCCCTACCACACCACATCGTGTAAGGATAGGGTAAAATGAAGTCTGTGGAGCAGCTCAGAGACAAAGGGCTTTGAGCAGGGAGGTACTTGGGAAGAGGAGGAGAATTCTGCAGAAAATTCTGCAGGAAAAGTGAGTGAAGATAGTCTTCCCGAAGGAATAAGACTGGCTCGGTAATGTAAGCAAGCCTCATTTGCTTTGTCTACAAAATGCCTGTTGTCTGGAATGAGGAATGCCCCTACTCGACCACCTCCCAGAGGAGTTATTGAGAACACTTAATTCATAGGCATTTCAACAAATGGTAGCTGGAAGGGACATCAAGGCAGAAGTGCCCCCGGGTCCCACATAAAATGACCCTCTGCCTCCCACTGTGGCATGCTGATTGTCCTGCCAGTGACAAGTCGCTACCTGCATTTTCCAGAGTGTGATGCGTGGAATGTACGCGAGGGAGACTTTCATTGGAAATGAAGTCACCAATAAGCGGGGAAAGCTCACAGTGAAATATCCCATTGAGCGTGGAATTGTCACCAACTGGGAAGACATGGAGAAGGTCAGTGTGCAGCCAGGGCATTGGGGAAGGTTTTGGTCAGGATGGCTGCTATTGGGACCACTCGGCTAGACCAAACCACCACAATACCTATGTCCATGGCTAGGGAAGGAGTGCCTTAATAGAAGAGATTTGTTAGGATCCCTGAGCAATTAAATCATATCCAGAGAAGTGTGCCGCAGGACTAGATAACTCAGGAATCCCGTCCTCATAGAGGGTTCAACTAGATTTAACTTTAAAAAAAAATAGAGTGGAGGTGTGCTGGGGGAAGGGCATGTTACAGATGTAGAATGTTGCATGAATCCCAAATGAGATCATGGGAGATGGCTGCTGCTATGGGCAGGAGCTGAGTTACACCAATTTGCTTCTTCCCCTAAGATCTGGCATCACGCTTACTACAATATGCTCTGCATAGACCCAGAAGAACATCCCCTCCTGATGACAGAGAGCATCACCAACCCAAAGGCCAACCAAGAGAAATTAATACAGGTAAGCCAGGTAGTGAATGAGAGAAGGAATGGGAAGAATGCCAACCTCTGAAGTCCCTCCCAGTCCTGACATTCTATAACCTGAGACTCCTCCCAGCTCTGACTCTACACTCCATGTTCTAAGGGGCTTCCAAGTTCTAACGTTCTCTTATCCCGTCCAGCTCTGATATTCTGCATTCTAAGATTTCTTCTTAGATCTGGGTTCCTGTTATCGATATGGGTGTGTCTCTGTGGGAAGGGAGCGAAACCTCTCCGTGGCTTAAATATACCATAATCCTGACTTACTTCCTTATGAATTCAGAACCTCTATGAGACTGTGTGTGCGTTGGTGAAGTGAACAATGAGGGAGGTGTCCAGGGTCTTCCTTTGCTTCTTCCCCCTTTAAAGGTGCACAGTACATGCACCACCCTGAGCTGGCCTTCCCTTGTTGGAGATTGTCATATCTCCCAATCTTACCCTAAGGTGCCAATTCCCAACATGGCCCTAGACATCAATATGGGAGGTTTGCAAGCAAAGGCTGGATTGCTGCTTGGCGGGTTTGTAGCAGAAGAGATTGCTGTTGTTCCAGGCATTGTCCTAGGGGCTAAAAAAGAAAAGATAAAAAATTACACATTTCCTGTCTTCAGGGAGCTTATGTTCTATCTGCAAGATAACGTGTGTCTCAGAGAGGTAAACGCAAAGGAATTCAACACAATTTCAAGAGGGACCCAGCACTGGTAACTGGGGGTGAGGATGGGGGTGGGAATAGGAAAGGCCTCGAGTAGAAGGCAGCATCTGGTGGTGCTTTGAAGGAGGCTGGGGATTCCTTGTAGCTGAGAGGTTCAGGTGAGAAGGAGGGTCAGTGGGCTGGGGTCTTTTCTAACAGTGATACTCCAGAACTCTGTGAGTAAATATTGCCTTTGAGACTGAAAATTCATATTATCTCTTGAAATACTGCCTCCTCCTGGTCTGCCTCCTCTCCATCCAATAGAGGCCCTTTTGACTGCTGATTCTCCTTTCTAGATTATGTTTGAAACCTTTAAAATACCAGCTTTGTACGTAGGAATCCAGGACATTCTGTCCCTTTTCTCTTCGGGCCGGACCACCGGTGAGTGCTGATGTATCCATTCTGTTTTACCTTGAAACCTCAGTTATAAAGGAGGAAAGGGGTAGATTACATTATCTCTAAGAAACACCCCCCCCCAAACTCTTACGTTCAATACTTCAGGGTCTCCTCTATCTCTGACATTCACAGTCTGACACTTTCTAGGTTCTAGGGTCCTTCCCAGCTCTAACACTCTTTTCTGTGTTTTCAGGTCCCTCCCAGCTATAGTATTCTATGCTCTAATGCCATGACAGCTCTGATCTTTCATATTCTAAGGTCTCTCCCTGTTCTTAAGATTTCATGGTATAAGGTCCCTGCCAGCTCTTGACACGCTGTGTTCTAAGGCCCTTCCCAGCTTGTGACCTCCCATGCCCCTCTTCTAAGGATCTTCCGAAGCTCCCTGACCTCAAGACTAGTGAGGGGAATATAAGTGCATATTCACCAACAGGCGGCAGTGGTTCTCTAATACCCTGGTTTTCTCCCTTTCCCTGTGTAGTTTTCCTCACGTAGCTTAGTCGCAAATTACCTGGCTTAGGCTGTTCTATAATCAGGCTGATGATTATCTAACTTCCTTAAGAGGAGAGCAAGCTTCTTCCTTGGGACACACCAGTGCCTTCTCCTGCTCTAGGGCTCGTGGTGCATTCCGGGGATGAGGTGACCTACAGCGTTCCCATCGAAGGTGGCTACATCTTGTCTGACGCCATCGTGAACCTGGAAGTGTCGGGCCAGGACCTCTCTACGTACCTTACGAAGATTCTAGTGGACAAAGGCTACTCCCTTAGCACCATGGGTGAGACAGCACAGCCCTGACCAGGCAACCCAGGGAAAGGAGCTAAGCCTCATGATGCAGCCAAAACCAGACCCCTCCTCTGCTCTACAGAGGGTCAACCAATAGGACAAGTGGCGTGTTAGGGATTGCCCTTAGAGATGGGCTGTGATTCAACAAGCATACATTAAATGTGTACTTACTTGGGCCCTCATTCCTTTTCTCCTAAACCATTACAATGATCTCCCGACTGAGCTCCCTGTTCCCCGTCTGTCTCCTCTGACTTGTATTCTACGCAGCTGCTAAATTGATACGCCTAGAGTACAGGCCTGATCATGTCACTACCCCTGCGCCAGAGGTATTGGTCAGTGGCTAGCCATCTGTTGCCACTAGGATGAAATACGAACTCTTCTGTTTGGCATTTAAAGCCCCCTCACAGTTTGGGTGTAGCCTACCTTTCTAGGAAGATTTCCAGGAAGATAGCTTTCCTCATCCCATCCCTCCAAGCTCTCTGCTCTCACCTGCCTTTCCTGGGAGCTGTTTTCCATAGACAGGATTTTCTCTCTTGCCTCAGTGGCTTGGCAAGGACTGTGCTCCTGTGCCTGAAGTGTTCTCCCCGTGCCTTTTCATTCTCCCTTTCCAAGGCTCAGCTTCTTCAAGCTGCCTCCTTCAAGACATCTTTCCTGATCTCAGCCATTCATTCGTTATTAATGGCCCCCATACAGCAAAATGACTTGGTATTTATTTTATTTTATCTGTGTCATGGTAGGAGTGAACGTCACTCACACTGGATCACAGGCCCTTGGAGGAGTGTACTTTGCAATTACTTATCTGTGCATTGGTGTGCCTGCTGTCCATTCTCCAAGCTCCACCCCCAATTAAATGTAAGGTCCAAAGTCAGGGGCTATTCTATTTGGGATTTGTATCCCCAACACCTGGCACAGGGCTTGGCATGTGGTGGTACTTAATGGATACTTGAAAGAATGGATGAGTGAATAGATGGATACATAGATGAATATGTGGCAGGAACTGAGGATACAGAGATGATTAAAAAAGAAAAGAGGGGAGAAAGGACTTGCCTCAAAAAGCTTATATGCTACTTGGGTGGTCATTTCTAGTAAAAGTCCCTTCTAAAAAAGGGGGCATCCTCCCAGCCCACCCCGCTCATAGCCTTAGCCCCATGAGGTACTGGACCTTAAACACACCTTGCTTTTTGTGGGCACGTTTTTCTTTACAGTGTTCTCTCTTCCCCAGCTGAATGGGAAATGGTCAGAACCATGAAGGAGAAATTGTGCTACGTGGCTTTGGACTACATAGAGGAGATGCATACTCCAGAAGCCTCCCTACAGAAGGAATATGAGCTCCCTGATGGCAGAATCATTACCATGGGCAGGGAGAGGTTCCGCTGTCCTGAAGCCTTGTTCGAACCATCCAGGTTAGGTGTGTCCACCAGAGACAGAGCACATTTCTGCCCCATACATACATACTTCTTATGCCACCTGTTACACATGGACCATCCATTGCTCTAGGATTTTCCAAAGCAGACAGTAATTACATGGACAGGGATTATGAGGGCCAGTGTTGAACAAATGAACCGGGGCAGTCCCAGCCAGAATGCGGAGGGGGCGGGAGGAAATGAAGGCTTCATGCTTGAGAAGAGAAGACTTGGGGGGAGGGGAGGGGAGGGGACCTTCGTTTAGTAAGTGCACAGTATGTGCCAGGTGTTGTGTTAGGCATCCACATTTCACAGACAAAAAGAGATCACTCCTGCCCTCATGGGGCTTATGCTTATGAGGACAAGGGCTCTTTGTTCATGTCCTGGCCCCCTTAGGCAGTCTAATGAAGCCTGAAGATCCCTTCTCAGAATCATATTTTTAACATAAAGCGATTTCTGGAAGGGAGGGCACTGGGGAAGGAGCAAGACAGACTAAACTAGAAGACCAGCAGCAAGGCCAGTTTATTTGAAATTAGAGTGAAGGAGAATGTACAGTAAGCCTGCAAGGGTAACTGAAGGCCAGAGTTTTAAATGCCAAACAGGCTTTTTTGATTTATACTAGAAGCAACTGGGAGCCCCAGGGCTTCTTGAGCAGAGGAGTGACACAGTCAGATCTCTGCTTTGGAAACATCATTTGGGCAGCTGTGAGAAGGAGGATTGGAGTGTGGAGACACTGGAAAGCAGGGAGAGCAATTAGGAAGCCATGGCAGTTGTGAAGGCAAGCTAGTGGGACTAAGTAGCCATGTGAGTGGTAAGAAGGGTCAGGAGGGATGTGGTGGTAGTGATAGAATGGCTAAGACATGACAATGATTAGATGTTGGAAATTAGGAAAGGGAAAACTAAAGAACTCTGAGGTTTTGAACTAGGACAACTGTGAGGCTAGTGGGGCCCTTGACAGTAATCAGGAAGAGGGGAGGGTGGGATGAGATAATGAGCTCAGTTAGGGATGTATTGCGGGGCATCCAGTTTGAAATGCCCAACAGGCAGCTCCAGTGATGGTGGTCTGGAGCTCAAGAGAGAGATCAGAGCTAGATACATAGATCTGTGAATCAGCTGCATGGAAGGGATAACGGAAGTCATGCAAACTGATGTCAGACACAGAGAGAAACAGAAACGGGGGGGGAGGGAGAGAGGGGGATAGAGAGAGAGAGAGTGGGAAGGAGGGGGGAGGGAGAGGGAGTGGGAAGGATAGAGGGAGGGAGAGAGAAAGAGAATGGGAAGGAGGGGGGAGGGAGAGAGAGACAGACAGAGAATCGGATCCTCATTTTATAAGAGATGCATCCCAAGCTGCCTCACCACAGGCTTATCATCAAAGACTCAGCCTGACTGGCAGATCAGCACCACCTTCCTCCCCTGGGGATGGCACCAGGAATCGCTCCAGGACACATAACATCTGGGCAGAGGATTGGCAGATATAGAGAAGCCTTCCCTAACTGCATCCCTGCTGGTCTATGCACCAGGGAAGAGATCCAGAGATAAACTAAAATCTCACTTTCTACAAGAAGCCCTTCCTGATTCCTTCCTTAATGTTAGGGGCTTTCCTTCTGTGCATTATCTCTAATTTGTCATGTCTATGTCTTGTTTCTACATATTCAGTTTCATGTTGTCTCCTCCATTAGAATGAGTTCCTTGAAAAGGGGCTGTCTTTTGCTTTTCTTTGTAACCACAACAAATGTTTGTTGACTGACTAACAGACCCACATCAGAGACATTTCTCTTTGGGAAACACAAACAATACCATGAAGAACTTTCTGACCCTGGTGGGTTTAACCTCATTGGACTTATTTTGGGAATAATCTAAAGTCCCTGAGGGCTCAGAAGCCAGCCCAGTTGGATAATTCTAAGCCCTTGGGAAAATTCTGCCTCCCTTTTGAATAGCTTCGCCAGCCCTGAGTGCTCTCTCCAGCAGTTAGCTGCAGCAGGCAGCTCAGCAATTTGCAGATCTGCTCCTGGACCTAGCCATGGTGCTGACGGAGCTCAAGCGTTGCCTGCTCTGCTGTTTCCCTGCTGCTAGTACAGAGGGCTTTCCTAAGAGACAAATGCTAACCCGTCCCCACTCCCTTTTCTTTGCAGGGGCCACATCTCCAGGTCTTCATAAAAACATACATGAGAGCCTCATGAAATGTGATTTTGAAATAAGGAAGACATTTTATGTGAACACTATCCTTTGTGGAGGCAACATGTCATTCCCAGGCATGAATGAACGTGTGACGAAGGAAATCAAGGCCCAGGCACCCCAGATGACTAAGATCAAGGTAGTTTGCTCCTAAAGTAGGGCAGGTGTCTCCCAGTTGGATAATCCTGAGTCTGGTAATGCTTTCCATGAGAGACTGATAGTTGATATTATCCCCAATTTACAGCCCAGGAAACTAAGGCTTAGTTATGTGATTGGTCCATGGCCCAACAAAGAGACCCTTCTCAGCAGACTGCCAGCAGCACAGAATAGTTCTTTGGATGAACTCCCTGCAGGCTTTCAGAAAACATGACTGAGTATTTAATTTCATCTATCAGACACTTATTTTTCCTTCTCTTGGCCCCATGTGCTCCTTTTCCACTTGTTGGCATTTATATGACAGGAGTGGTTGGAACATGGTGTTAGGCGCCTTCTCATCTGAGCTCTTTTCCTAACGTACTACGTGACCTCAGCAAGTCCCTTCTCAGGACCCACTTCCTCATTAGTAGAATGTGGAGAAGACTACCTTTTAAATCCTGTGGAACTTCTTCTCTTTTCCCCTTTCTTTTAAAAATGTTTCATTGATACTTATTTCTGAGATTTTTTTTTACCATAACAGCCACATCCTAATAACTCTCCCCCACTAGGATGGCCTCTCCCTAAGGGCATTGGTTAAGCAAAGCAAGCAAATGTGCCTGCTAGCATACACAGCCTTCTCTGTTTAGAAGAAGGAAAAAATCTTTTCCTCTTCACGGCACAAGATTATTGTGAAATTTGATATAGAAATATTTTGGAAATGAGAAAGGAAAGCCAGAAAGAAGCACAAGGAATTGGAGGCTGATGTAAATGAGCACAACTTGTTAGTGACAGGGCAGGTAGCAAGAGCCAGGGGGCACACCTCTAAGGTGGACCCCTTTGCCAGCAAGGCCATGGACTTGAGACAAGATTGGCTTGCTTGCTGGTGGCCCAGAAAGCTCAGGGGCAGAAATATGGCCCTTTCTCCCCTTGAAAACATGCTGATGATGAGAGTTTAATCATCTCAGCTGTTGTTTCAGTTATAGTTAAGGGAGAAAAAATCCACCATTTTCCAGGCTGCTTTTCTCTCCCACTCACCTATCCTTGACCCATCCTCCTGTTTCCAACTAGATAGGGAAGTAGCCTGTGACTGCCTAGAGAGAAATGAGAATGAACTGGGCTCATGGGTGCTGATGGGGTCTTGTTAGGAGCACCTCTAGATAGGAATCCCCTTGAGAAGATCCATTGATTTTGGTGGTCTCTTAAAACCAATGAGAAGCAAGAGGGCCATATGGTAGCTCAAAATGCTAATGTTTTCCCCAAGATACACTAATAGGAAAAGACTGTCCAGGAATAAGGATGTCCTCAAGGGCTCTGCCTGTCTTAGACCTCAGTTGAAGTATCGAGTTTACATGTGTGAATCATTGTTTTTAAAGGACACAGACAAGGGGAAGAGTTTGAGTTCAAATAACAACTTTTCCCCTTATTTTGAGTGTAGGAGAGCCCCTTCCCCTCTCTGGGACTCAATTTCCTCCTTTGTCAAAATGAATAAGGGTTAGAATAGATGGCCCCTTAAGATCTCTTCTAATGAATGCATTGAAGGATTTGTCGCGTGCTTCCTAGGTGCCAAGACATGGAGATACAAATGTAAGCTCCAGCTCCTGTGATCTATGTATGCATTTTTTTTCCCAGGACCAGAGTCCTGGTGAGCAGAGAACACCAACCCAGAGTCTTTAAGGAGGCCATTTGCTCAGACAGGTCTTTAATAGTCTGTAAAGTTCCTAAAAGCACCAGGGATACTCTTTATGCAAAGTCAGGAGGACTCATTCTATAGCCTTGAGCAAGTCACATATTCCTTCTGTTCCTCAGTGCCCTCATCTGACAAAAATGGGTATCTATTTTGTATAAATGCCTCTACCAGCTCATAAGCATAGAGAGCTTAAGTGACTTGCTCAAAGTCCCACAGGCATGACTTTCCCATAATATTGCAAGCAGTAAATGCCAGAGGCAGGATTTGAATCTAGATCCTCTAAGTCCACAGCCAGTGGTCTTTCCCCATACTCTATTGATAACAGCCCTTTGACATCATAGCACTAGTAGGAGGAGGCTATGCAGCTGGTAAGGGTGGGAGCAAGGTCTTTTCTGCCTCTTGAGTTCAGGCCCGTGCCCACGCCAGTCCTCAGCCCCAGGAGGCTCCCACTTCCTCCTTCTGCTTCCTCCTCCAGGTGGTCGTGCCGACAGAATGCCGTTTCTGTTCCTGGTTTGGAGGCTCCATCCTGACCACCCTGAATTCTTTCCAACACATGTGGATCTATGCTTATGAATATGAGGACTTCGGCCCTTCTATCATCCATCGTCGAGGCTTCTGAGTTTGCTACTACCCCTGCCCCAACTCTGATCTTCACGCTCAGGTAGCCCTCGATAAAAAGCTGGGGTACCAGCACACATCCTGTTGGCCTTCTTTCTGAAGGTTCAACCTGAGTCATCTTTGGGGCATCTAAAATTTGGAGATAACAACAACTGTAGTGCCTATTCCCAGCAGGGTTGTTAGAAGGCTGAAATGAGATGAATACACACATACGTGCACACATGTAAGTCTATATATGTAAAGAGCATTGCAAACCTTAAAGTACTATGTTAAGTTGTAGTTAACAGAATTGTTAGTGTCATTAGACCCGAAGTTATTGTAAAAAGAAACACTACCCTCTAGACTAAATCGTGGGTATACATACATACATCTATACATACACACACATATTCACATATATACATACATACATATAATATATATATATATACCTTATCACTAATCCTTAATTTTTCCTTCATTTTCTCCACAACCCTGTAAGAATTAATCCATCGATTAATCATAAATATTTACAAAGCACCTACTATATGCCAGGCACTGTGCTAAGGACAAATAGGAAATAACAGAGAGAAGGCACTAGAGTTAAGAGGGGTTGGGTCAGGATGGAGAGATTTGAGAATCATCAGCATAGAGATGGCAGTTAAAATGCATGGGTGCTGATGAGAGATCAAGTGGGAGGAGAGGAAAGAGCACAGGACAAGACCCTATAGGACCCCTATAGTTAAAGGGTGTGATCTGGATGAGGATCCGGTGAAGGAGACAGAGGAGGAAAGGTCAGAGAGGGAGGAGGAGGAAGAGGAGAGAGAGACAGAGAGACAGAGAGAGAGAGAGAGAGAGAGAGAGAGAGAGAGAGAGAGGGAGAGGGAGGGAGGGAGAGAGAGGGAGAGGGAGGGAGGGAGAGGGAGGGAGGGAGAGGGAGAGGGAGGGAAGGAGAGGGAGAGGGAGAGAGAGAAGAGAGTAGTGAGGAGGAGAGAATGATCCACAATGCCAAGGGCTTCAGGGAGGTCAAGGAGAATGAAGACTGAGAAAAGGCCCCTGGATTCAGCTACCAAGAGATCACTGGTAACTTTGGAGAGTGCAGTTTAAAGAACCAATATTTGCGATCTGTAAGTCACAAAACATCGTGTAAGTGTCTTCTATTATTACTAATGATAACCCTATTTTTTTTTACATGGACTTTGGTTCAAATATTCCTTTTTCAACTCACCCTGTTTGTTTTAATATTGCACCCCCAAATTCCCAGAAGTTGTGCTGGGTAAGTCAGTTTCCAGAACTCCCAGAACATTTCCTTCATGTTGGCAGCCTCTACTTGTCCAGGCTCACTACCTGAGGAAGAACACTCAGAGAAGAGGGAAAACAGTGTTTCCTCTCAAGGACAACCTTGAGTTCCTTCCCTTCTCCTCATGCCCTACTTGGCAGTCACTGGGCCTAGCCCTGAGTCTGCTGAGAAGGAAAGGACAGAGCAGGCGGGGGTCTGGATCAGGAGGAGGGCAGGTGGCATCCAGAATGCCAGGCTCAGTTAGTTCCTAGGGTGTCTGTTGAGTGCCAAGGTCCAATGGTGTGAGACCACTAGGTAAGCTTCTTGATCCAAGGCTTCAGAAATGAAGCTGACTGTAGAAGGGATTGCAGACTATTGACAAACATGGGAAAAATGCTCCAAATCACTAGTGATAAGTGAAATGGTTTCCCATCACCCCCTGCAACCTGGCAGAGACGGCAAAAGAAGGCAGTAGTTGTGAATGTTAGAGAGGTTGTGGGAAGACAGGCACACTAGAACACTGTTGGCAGAGCTGCGAATGAGGCTGAGCATTTGGCAGCCAAGTGAAGTGGCCAGTGGAAGAAGCCATCTACCCCTAGAAAAAGGAAGGCCCCACAGTCATCCAAGTGTTTGCGGCAGCCCTTTGTGTGACAATTTGCAATCTGTCCTTTCAGGGCTCTATTTTGATCATTTATTTCTTGGGGAAACAGCCTTAACAGTTAGCTTGCTTCCTCGGCTATGGAGAGAGCAATTAGTGATCCTAAGAGTTTCTTACAACCTAATTAGGTTCCAGAAATGCCATATGAGAATTTAGGGCAAAAATGTAAAGCTAAACCTTCATGTAACTTCTTCTTCAGACTTTGTGAAACTGTCCACAGAGACCAGAGTATATTCCAGGCTACTCTAAGACTGGGGCACTTTCCAGTTCTCATGTAGTTCAGACCAGATAATGATAACAATAATAAAAGCTAACATTTAGATAGAGTTTTACTAAGAGGCACTGTGCTAAGCATTTTATAATTATTTCTCACTTGATCCTCACAACAGCCCGGGGAAGTGGAGCTACTATCATGCCCATTTTCCAGATGAGAAACTGAGGCAAACAAGGGGTTAAGTGACTTGCCTAAGATTGCCCAGCTAATAAGCATCTGAAGCAGATTTTAACTCTGGTCTTTCTGACTCCAGACCCAGTGGCATTCTATCCACAGACACATAACAGCTTAGCTGATTTCATAAGACACCCTTGGGAGAGTCGCTGGAAGTAGAGCTTACTTAAGGGTTCTGATAGCAGGGCTCTGACCTCAGATAGCAGCCTGAATCCAGGGTTGGGAGCGACTACTTGGTTTCATGGATTTTGCAGTCATTTTTGATCATGGAAGTATATCTATGTCTAATTTTCACTGATCTAATGTGGGTCTAACTGTGGAGAGACTATAACCTGGGGTTCAGTGAATAGCATCCACACCCCACTCCCATATAAATGCTATCCAGCCAGCCCAGATGCCCATGTATATATCCCAGTAATTTATTGTTGTGGTTGTTATTACTTTCTCTCAACTCTTTGGGGAGAGGGTTGGTACAGGCTCGTACTAAGGACCTTCCCCATTTATTGTGCCCATCACCTGCTCTAGTGATTCACAAGATACTAATAATGAATACAACAGAGCTTCACATATGAAAGTTTGATTGAAAGTTGACCTTGTAATGACCCTTTGAATCGTGGATACTCATTGTGAGACTTCACTAGAAGTTAAGCTGAGATGTTAGGCCAGAAGCTGAGGTAGTCAGGGCATTCCTAGTCATTCACACTAAAAGTCTATGTGCCCTTCTCCTGATTTCCCTGGCCCCACAGAGACACACCCAGCCAGAACCCGGATGGATTGGGAGGGAAGAAGTGGCTCCCCTAGTCTGAGGAGGTCACCCTTTGAACCAGCTTGGCTTTCCTGATTGCTAGAGGAAAGGTTTGGCCTTCATTGGGCTCAGCCCCAGACCCTGACACATCTGGGTGCTGGTCAGGTGCCAATGACAGCTTGGCTTCAGTTCCTCCTACATTTCCTAGAATTCACACAGATACAACTTACATAACACTTTGGTTGCCAGATCATGAACTCCCACATGATTGTAACTTTGGTTATCAAGTTTACTCTTAGCTCTAGAGATGGAAGGGAACTGAGAAATCATTGAGTCTAATCCCTCACTTTACAGATGAAGAAGCCAAAGTATCTGGAAAAATCACTAGCCCAAGTACACATGGGTAGCAGTGGTGACCCAGGATTTGAACTCAGGTCCTATGACCTAGCACTTCACTGAAAAAAAAAAGACCATTTAGAAATCCCATGAAAAGAATCCCAGACTTACTGAACCTTCTTCTTTCCCCTCCTCTTCCAGTCAAAGTTTAGTAAATTCAGACCCTGAGCCCCTGCCATACATCATGCATCCCTCCTCACCATATTCTCCTGAGGAAGGCAGACATCCCCAATCCTATCTCATGTTGACTGACCTATCTTGAGCTGCCATTGTCCACGGTGTCTTAGAGAAGACCTACTCATCCACTAACCAGAGGAGCACAGGAAGTGATACACTCAGAAGAGATCCTACAACCCCAAAGAGCTTTGTGAGGACCCCAGAAAAAGAGAGAGGATAGCAAGGTCTCATAGAACTAGGAGCACAAGTTTCTTTGGGTATGTTTTCCCTACACATGTGCCTCACTACTGGTGTGTGTGCCCACTCTCCTCACTGATGTTGGGTATATTCATGGGAGGTTTGTTATATACACCCTGGATTTACTGGAAGAATGTTTTCTAGCTACTATTCTTATGATGCTGCCTCAGTAAATATCTTTGTTTTGAGCTGATTTTGTCCTTTGGCTAACAGTTAAAGGTAAATGCACTTGTGGAGGCTCATGAGCTATGATTTTAGGAGCAAGCACTCAACAGAATTCATTGGACCTGGGTTAGCTATCCTAGGGGTGGTGAAAGAGGATGCCATCTAAAAGTATGGGTTGCAAGTATCCCAGAGGGAGTGCTAATATATAGAAAGTCATACCAAGTATTTACCCCAGGGGAATGGGAGTACGAGCAACTGGGGCAATCAGAACAGTGGTCTTGTAGGAGATGGGACTTGAGCTGAACCTCAAAAGCAAATAGGGATTCCAAGAGTAGATGGCATGAGGTATACCTAGTGCAAAAACAACACACGAGTTGAAGCTGAAGAGCCAGATGGTGGATTGATGCTGGGTTGGGGGTTGGCAAGGAAAGAGGGAAAGGAAATAAGCTTTTAATAAGGGTCTACTCTTTGCCAAGTACTTAGCAAAGGACTTCACAAATATGATCTTATATGATCCTCTTATGATCAACTAAAGGAATTTCAGAGTTCTTGATCTTGAAAGTGGAACACTGGTCGGGGGTGGCAAGATGAAGGGTGTGACTATCTCTTTATGTAGCTGAGGCAGTGGGAAGGAGTACCAAGTTATGGGAGTGAGAGAATGGGAGAACATGGTTGGGAAGGTAGTAAGTTGTTTATAGGAGGTTGGTAACTAAGAATCACAGGTATTGGGAAAATAATGGGTGGTGGGAGTTTGATAGTCATAGGGGATAGCAGTGAATGTCAGATGATTAGACAATTAGAATGCTGAGATTCTCTAAGGATCCAGCTACAAATCTGCATGGTAAGTTCTAAACTAAAGAAGATTTGCTGTTGGTTGAGATATTTTCAAAATGTCTCTCTTCACAGGGAATACCCTACTAATAATCCAAATAGGTTCTATTATCATTCATTTTATAGTTGAAGAAACTGAGGCAGGCAGAAGCCAAGTGACTTGTCCAAGGTCACACAGCCAATATTTGTCTGAAGCTGTAGCCTTCCTTATTCTAGGACCAAAATTTTATACATGAATTGGAGTAGGTGACAGTGTGAAATTTATTAATTATAGGGTCAAGATTGTGAGGAAAGGAAAGT